GTTAGCAGAGGCCACATCGGGAGATACATACATAGTGTCAGAATGCTACGCTAATTGGACCTGGCCAATAAGAATGAGTGAAAACTCTGTGTTTTATTACCCCTGGTTCCGACAATTTATAACGTGGATCCCTGTTACTCCGGCCACCCGCAAAACAAAATGGATATTATAGCAACGTATGTTTTTGAACATCAACAATGCCCCTAATTCGATCTCAATGTTACGATCTGGAGATCGGATGGGGGAGTGGTCATGTGATAGTTTTTGCACCCATAAGGTGTATCTTCTCTCTTCCCTTTCTCTCTCCTTCTTCCTTCCCCATGTTTAAAATTCTAGTTGAATGTACTCTTTTTCATCAAGACTTGGCTCGTAACACTCAAAAAGCTCAAAAATTGGTTGAACAGGAGGGCCGCCTTCTGTTAGCTATTAAAGCTATAGAAAATGGGAAATACACCTCTATTAGAGCTGCTGCCGAAGCTTTCACTATGCCGCGATCAACGTTACAAGATCGGATGAAGGGTCATGAAAGTCGGGTTGTATGCCGCTATCATCGCCACAAATTCTCTGAGCCTGAAAAGAAGTTGATAGAAGAGTGGCTGCTCTCTATGACTCTAGAGGGTTTGCCCTTACACATACTATATGTCGGGATATAGCTAATTTACTACTTCGTGCCCGTGAAATAACCCCCTCCGAGACCCCTCTAAGAGTTAGTAAAAATTAGGTTATAGACTTTATCAAACGCTATAATTCTCTTGCCTCTTATCTCTTATCTAAAGATCCTAAACTTATAAAAGGGTGGTTTAATCTCGTCCGAAATACTATCCAAAAATATAGTATCATTCCGGCTGATATCTAGAACTTTAATAAGACGGGATTCGCGATAGGTGTTATGTAAAGTATAGGGGGTTCTAGTGTTTACAGGATAGGGCCTGTCAACTAGGTAAGACGAAGATGGCTCCGGAACCGATGTATTGAGCGAATAGTACAGAGACTGATTCTTGGGGAACTTCCAGGTTCCCAAGAATGGACTATTTATGATTGATAGGAGCGGGGTAGAGTGGCGGTCAGAGTACGCTCTGTGATCGACAGTGACACGCTGGCGATAACCCGTCTCTATGACAGGACTTCTGAAGATTCAGGATCCACTCCGTTACACCACCATACGTTATCTTTAAAGGTAAAAACTTTATAGAACGATAGTTCGACGACCTTCTAAAACATTAGGCTCTTAACGTTAGTCTAAATAGCTAGACGAGTAATGAAATTGGCGTTGATTGGCTCTAAAACCACTTTATTCCGTATACAAAAAGTCAGATAAAAGGGAAACATTGTCTTTTAGTCCTTAATAGCCACGATAGTCATCTTATAGCGACATTCGATAAGATTTGCTAGGAAAACAATACTATACCAATATGTATGCCTCCGTATGCCTCTTATCTTTTATAGCCTCTTGATATTGGTTATTTTGCTGTGTTAAAGCGCTCTTACGGAAGGCGGGTTGTACAATATACCCGATTAGGCATCGATTCTATCGAGAAAGATGACTTCCTTGATATCTTTCCAGCGGCCCGTAACGATTCATACAAAGAGTCTATCGTTCAAAGTGCCTTCGCAGCTACTGGTTTAGTGCCATTAGACCCTGATCGGGTGTTATCAAAGCTAAATATTCGTCTTCAATCTCCACCTCTACCAGATCGACCAGTTTCACAAGGTTCAACATCAGGCAGTAATATCTCTACCGGTATCCCTCGGACAACTAAGCAGCTAGAAAAACGCAAATCTAGGCTCAATTCTAGTCTAAGTCCAGCTGCTAATAAGATCTCTTCGCCTACAAAACGTGATCTTCAACAGTTCTATAATATGTCGGTTAAGCTGGTTCACGAGCACATCTTAATGCGAGATGAGATCAAGCGTTTACGGGAGGGAAATAGAAAGCAAACGAAAAAGAGGGAGAGATCAAAGAAGCAGATACCTAATATGGGTAGTTTAACAGAGCTTCCGGTCCCTACTACCAATGTGGGTGGTGAGGAAGGTGTTAGTGTGAGATATATATCTAACCCTACACCTGCTCCAGAACCCCAGGTTGAACCTACACTTCCTGTTTTGGCCCCTGTACGCCAGCAAACTACATGTTCATTATGCATGGGGAAAGGGCATAGGTATACTACATGCCCGAAAAGGTTTAATTAGTCAATTTAATGGTGTTTTGGTTGTTTAATTGGAGTTTAAAAAGTGTACAAAATATGAAATTTTGGTGGGGTGCCGGAACGGCCAGGATGCCGGAACGACCAGGATCCACGTTAACGTGGATCCCGGCGGGTTCGTCATCCCTGCCGGTCCGTCATCCCACTTCAAATCTTCCGCCCATACCTAGCCACCTATCTTTAAACGCCTACCATGCCCCCAAAACGGAGTGAAAAAGCTCAAAAATCAATTGAGCAGGAAGGCAGGATCTTATTAGCTATCAAAGCTATTCAGAATGGCAGAATCACCACGATCGCTGCTGCTGCTCGCTCTTTCGATGTCCCCCGCACAACTCTTGCAGATCGGATGAAAGGCATTTCTAATTTGTATGAAGCAAGGGGTACAGGCCATAAATTCACGCAACTAGAAGAGGAATCAATTCAGGATTGGTTAATCTCTATGGATCAGAGAGGCGCCGCGCGTACAATCGCGATGTTAAGAGATATGGCTAATTTACTGCTTAAACACCGCGGAGATAATGCCCCCCAGACCGTTGGCAAAAATTGGCCAACACAATATATCAAACGACATCCTGAGCTTACTACTCGATTCTCTCGCAAATATGACTACAAATGTGCCCTAATGGAAGACCCAAATACTATTATTGAGTGGTTTAATCTTGTCGAAAAAACGATTACTCAATATGGTATCACTTCGGATGATATCTATAACTTTGACGAGTCAGGGTTTGCGATAGGAGTCAGTGCGACGACGAAGGTTATTACCCAGTCATTTTACACCGGTCGGAGGGGCGTTTTACAAGCTGGTAATCGTGAATAGGTGACTGTCGTTGAATCAATCTGTGCCTCCGGGCGAGCGCTCCCACCATACGTTATCTTTAAAGGCAAAAACTTCATGGAACGATGGTTTGACGACCTTCCAAAGCATTGGGCTCTTAATGTTAATCTAAATGGTTAGACAAGTAACGAAATTGGCGTTGATTAGCTCCGTAAACACTTTATTCCGCATACAATAAGTCAGACAAAAGGGAAACATCGTCTTTTGGTCCTCGATGGCTACGATAGTCATCTTATAGCAACATTCGATAAGATTTGCCAGGAAAACAGCATCATACCAATCTGTATGCCTCCGCATGCCTCTCATCTTTTACAGCCTCTTGATATTGGTTGTTTTGCTGTGTTAAAGCGCTCTTATAGAACTCGGGTTGCGGAATATACCCGGTTAGGTATCGATTCTATCGAAAAAGACGACTTCTTTAATATCTTTCTAGCGGCTCGTAACGACTCATTTAAGGAGTTAATCATTCAGAATGCCTTCGCAGCTACTGGTTTAGTGCCATTAGACCCTGATCGGGTGTTATCAAAGCTAAATATTCGTCTTCAATCTCCACCTCTACCAGATCGACCAGTTTCACAAGGTTCAACATCAGGCAGTAATATCTCTACCGGTATCCCTCGGACAACTAAGCAGCTAGAAAAACGCAAATCTAGGCTTAATTCTAGTCTAAGTTCAGCTGCTAATAAGATCTCTTCGCCTACAAAACGTGATCTTCAACAGTTCTACAATATGTCGGTTAAGCTGGTTCACGAGCACATCTTAATGCGAGATGAGATCAAGCGTTTACGGGAGGGAAATAGAAAGCAAACGAAAAAGAGGGAGAGATCAAAGAAGCAGATACCTAATATGGGTAGTTTAACAGAGCTTCCGGTCCCTACTACCAATGTGGGTGGTGAGGAAGGTGTTAGTGTGAGATATATATCTAACCCTACACCTGCTCCAGAACCCCAGGTTGAACCTACACTTCCTGTTTTGGCCCCTGTACGCCAGCAAACTACATGTTCATTATGCATAGGGAAAGGGCATAGGTATACTACATGCCCGAAAAGGTTTAATTAGTCAATTTTATGGTGTTTTGGTTGTTTAATTGGAGTTTAAAAAGTGTAGAAAATATGAAGTTTTGGTGGGGTGACGGACCGGCAGGGATGACGAACCCGCCGGGATCCACGTTATCCACTGTTTATTTGTAATTCCTTAGTCATGTTAGATCCCCCTATAAATTACTAGAACCAGGGGTAATAAAAGACAGAGCATTCATACATTCTTATTGGCCAGGGCTAGTGAGCATACCGACAGATAAGATGAGGTTTAAATCACATGACCTAATTCCTAAAACTCCCGAGTCTCAGTTGGTTATATAAGTACGGGATTACGTAACGTGGTGCGCAAGGCCGAAAAGCGTAGTGCGTGGATCACTACCGGAGTCGGATCAGATGCTTATGTAATGAGCTAGGTTCCGATCAGACTCAGATGCATACTCAGATCTACGTAGTGAGTAAAAAGCGGCAAGTTCTGAGCACATTTCCAGCTCCCCGAAATGTAGAATTGGCCCCCACACAAATCAAACGTACCTGGAATGCTCCACTTTCGCTGGGCAGTTTAATCAAATCGATAGAAACCGAATAAATTTACCTCCTAATATTATGCCTTATCTGTTCCTACTACCGAATTAAGACATAGAATTACTATTTTAATTCTCATGGGCTATGAAAATTGTGTAGGAGCTCGGTTGAATGACATGTTTTAGGCCTAGGACGATGAATAACACACTGCAAGGCTAGCGCCTGCGCCCTCCGTTCATGCATCTACCCTTCCGAAATGAGGCAGTCTCCGTGCCATGTGACAGCACTAAACGCACATGTTAGCCGCATTTGCATGATTGCACCCATTTCTGTATTCCCAATTCTTTATAGCCTTTTTTTCGCGAGCCGAAGTCTACTCCCGGAGTTGCAATATGTATGACTGATACTCAATCTCTACTCTTCAATTTGAACGTTCAAGAATCAAATTCAAATGTTCAATTGACGAGCCACATCGAAGAAGCCCCAGCAGCACCGCGAGACAGTGACATGGCCCTCCAGTTGACCTCCGTCAACGAACAGACAGCAGAGCTTCTCAAGACAACGGACCATGTTCTTATTCAACTCAACGAAGCAAAGCGCCTCCGAAAGCTAAATGATCCCAGTCTCGATTCCAGTGAGCGAGAGTGGATTGACTGTATTATTAAAGATACCGCGGATGCCGCCCATGATATTGCGGTAATTCTCGAGCCCGCTCGTATTGACAGAGTAACGGGCAATGGCAAACTCGGCCTGGGAAGACAACTACGATGGTTGTACCGTGATAAGCAACGGGCCCAAGATAAAAAGAATCGACTTTTGATTTGCTATCAGAGTCTTATGATGGTTCTCGGTCATCTTCAGCGGGTAACTCTGCCAATGGAGATGACCAGAACTGGATTGGTTCATGAGCTTGGGGCCGAAGTGCCCTCAATGTTTATACATGATTCGATCGATCGTCAACGATCTAAATCGGGCATTTGTGAAGTTACAGATGAACCAGCCAGCCCAGCCAGTCCAAATGATGAGCTGCGGGACATGTTGACATGGCGTCGGTCAAAGGGAGTACAGGCGTAAGGGGGAGAAGAGAACACATTTGCCAGACAAGTGGAATAGTTCGGCTTCTATTTTCTTGGGATGGGCTTTCTTTTCCATTGAAGTTCAACAATATTATAGTGATTATTCAGTGTATAGATATAGCTACCGCTGGCAATGTCAAAACAAAAAGCCCACTGCTTCAGGTTTGTACTACTTTTTCCTCCACTAGCTTCTCCGGAATCGCCAATAGTCGCCCCTGTTCATCGCAAACTTTTAAAATAGCAGGAAGAACCACCATATTATCACCTGAAACCCTATCTGTTACCCACCTGAACTTAAACAAACATGGCTGTGAGAATAACCAGATACCGAGGTCAGCTGCCGATTTGGAGATGGTGGCCAGATGCCGAAGGCGATCATCTTTTGTGAACTGCGGGTTGCTGTATGGCTCAAATGCCTTGGTGAAACCCTCCGCAAATTTCATTATGTTTTCTCTGGGTAGGGCCGGCGGGTGATTGTTTGACGAGTAGAGGAAGGACGTGAGCATACGCCAAGCAAATTTGACACGCTCCGTAGCTAATGTAGTCAAGTCAGTAAATCATTTCTCGTGTATATTGAGACCCAAAAATCCTCACCAGCATCTGCCACCTCACTTCCTCCTTGCTGTGGGCTTGCCGCAAAATCTGCCGGAAGAAGAGAGTTTTCGGTTTCGCCGGGTTGAATGGCATGCAGCAGGCTTTCAATTAATACATGGGTGAGAACAGCCCTTTGAGATCTGGGGTTTGAAAGGATGATGCTCAACGAAACAGGTAAAGACGTTGAATCGTAGCGACTGAGACGAGCAAGAAGGTCCCGAGTCAATGGGGGATTGGAAGCAGTGCGAGAGTAGTAGTTCTCAACATGTAGACCGGCCTGATCAAATAAGCTCTGAATGCGCATGCATACAGAGTGGTCATCTGCTGGTTGTGGAATATAAGTAGACAGATCGAGTTGCTGTGACTCGAACGCGCTCGCGACTTGGGGGAGCGGTATATCAGAGTTCTTAGGTTTTGAAACTCCAGCAAATGTAGTGACTGTCTGTCCCAATACTTTTTCCGAATTCTCAATATAACCAGAACCACGGGCCTTCTCCCTAGGTTTGCGGCTCTTCTTGCGGAAACGAAAGAAAAGAAAGGCTGCCAAGAGGGCCAGGATATAACCGCCGGCAAAAGCGCCAACTATGGAACCCGCAAGAGTTCCAGAACTGAACTTTCCATTTGACTGCGAAGGTACTGAGATTGCAACTTTGCTGGTAGATGTGTATGATGGGTTGACAACTCTGGAAGGCGTTCGTGTTGCTGAACTGCCAGCGGGCTGAGTGGAAAACAGTGACGGAAGCGGTGAAGTAGTCTCCACGGACGCGGCATATGTCGAGGAGGATGAAGTAGCGGTAGTAGCAACTACGGTGGCACTATTCACTGAGGGAGATGAAATAGTGGAAGTCTCAACCGCGGTGTCACCATTCACCGAGGAGGAAGAAATGCCACTGCTCTCCACCTGGCTGGACTGTGTTGTGTTGGTCATAATCGATTATAGTATTGATTGTACGAAAAAAAATTATGAGACCGTGGGAAAATAACTCCCGGGTGAATTCATGGATATAATATCTATGGACTGGCTGAGGGGCGATCTATGTACGAAAGGGGGCATAGTACCATAGTACGAATAACAGATTGGGGGCGGACTAAAAGGCAGCTACTCTTAGTTCGTACGTTAGCTGAAACAAGGTGTCACTGAAAAGCGTGATGGGAGTAACATCCTTGTTAGGAGCTTGATAAAATGAGACCCCGATAAAACAAAATGATCCAAGATCCATTTTGTTTTTATTTTGTACTGGGCCCTTGCACGCTCAAAAATAAGCCATCGCATTCACTTCCCCTTGTATAAATATCCATAGCCTGCTAAAAGCTTCTCAATATTAAACTCAACATAGGGAGAAAAATGGCAGAAAAGGAGGTCGTGGTGCTGGAAAGGCAAGCATCCGACAATGCCTGGGGTGCGTGGACCCCGGATATTGTAGTTGGGATCGATTTCGGAATGACTTATACTGGTATGTCACGCACGGCGGTGGAGTTATTTTTGTTTTGGTTTCGACGTGATAAGATTCTCATATGTCCTTCCTTTATAGGGGTTGCGTATTCCTGTGCGCCAGAATGGCTTCCCCCAAAAACCATTCAACGTTGGCCCGGCAAATTGCCAGGCGAGCTTTCCAACAAAGTTCCTACGTGTATTGAGTATGATCAACAGTCAGGCTTGATCAAGAATTGGGGCTTCAAGTGTGACCAAGAAGATGCAAATGCTGATATTAAGGAATTTTTTAAATTGCATCTTGCACCTCATTATCACGATGACTTGCCGGGGAGTCCGAGTCGACAGGACGCTCAGCGTTGGTTTCAAGATTACATTCAGTGCATCTACCTGCACGTGATCTCTCATTTTAACGCAACAATTCCTCATTTTAGCTCGAGCAAGGTTGAGTTCCTTTTCAGTGTGCCAACTACATGGAGGGATGTACGCATGGTGGAAGAAACACGCCGGCTTCTCCAGCGCGCAATAAATTCGAAAACACCAAATCATCACGTTTCTGTTGGTCTAACTGAGGCAGAGGCTGCGGCAGTTTATGCAGGAAATGAACATTACCAGGTATTTGGGACAAAATTTATATTTATCTGTAATATGTCGCTGACACGATCAAACTGCGATCTAGCTGGATGATACCATTCTTATCTGTGATGCAGGCGGGGGAACAACTGTAATATGGCTTTTAAAATATACTGTTTATAGCGGCATGCTAACTCGTCCCTAGGATGTCAATGTACTGAAGCTCATTTCTTCGCGAGGAGAACCGACTAGGCTCGAGCAGTTGGGCCATGTGGAAGGTAATTTTTGTCAATCTAAAAATATGAGAAGGCTTGATAGGAATCATGCTGATAAATTTTAGGCCAGCCTATTGGGTCGGTATTCATCGATAGAAAGATGCATCGACTCATCTGCCATCGCCTTGAAGGGATCAGCGAGCATCTTAGCATTCAACCAAGTGAGGCCGCGTGGAAAATGACGTCAGGCCGATTTCAGAGACTCAAGTGTACATTTGGTACGGAATCTACATTGACTCCGTGGTTGAAGCTTGATGTACCATGCTTGAAGTCTGATTTGGACTTCTCTGAAGCCTCGATATTCGAGGGACAAATGCTCATTGCATGGTAAACCTGGATATGACAATGTTTCAGAAAGCACGGCTGACATAGGCCATAGGGATGACCTCAAGATGTGTTTCGATACCAAGATTGATGAAATGGCAGTTCTTTTGGATGAACATATCAGAAATCTGTTGACTAAATACCCCGATGACCACATTGTATGTACTTTACTTTGATTTGGAGGAATCTCTGACTAACTGGCCATGCTATATCAGAAATATGCCGTCCTTTCTGGCGGATTTGGCAGTTCTCCATATGTGAGACAATGTCTTGTGGATAGGTATAGCAACACAAGCAGTCTGAATCATCCAAACGCGGTGGGAATGCAAGTTTTGGTCGCAGATGAGCCGTATGTCAATGCAATATTTAGAGATCGACAGCATTTTGTGAGAAGGCTGACGCATATGAACCGACAAAGGCAGCTCGTTGTTGTTCACGGTTTAGTTCTTGATCGTATACAACAAATCAAACGAGGAATAGTCACGTTTGGATCTCGATGCTCTCCAATGAGCTATGGTATTATATGTGACAAGATATATAATCCAGAAAAGCATGTCGGGGAGCGTGTCCGGCTTGATCCTCGAGACAGGAAAACTTATGTTATCGATCAAATCGACTGGCTTGTCATCCGGGTAAGAAAACAAAATTTCGACTTCCTTGTCAACATAAACTCTTATTCATTCAAATGACAGGGTGCTCCCATTCCATGTACCGGAATAAACAAGCCATTTCAATTGAAAACAAACCTGGGACGTGAAGCCGAGCCGTGGAGAGTTAGCATTGTCATGTCCCATTTACCCCTCGACAGGTTACCACACAATATGTGCCAAAATGGTGTGCAGCGAGTTTGTGACCTTGATATTTCCACCGAAAATGTCTCCAGGAAGCTGAAGAATCGACATTGGTATAACATGGGACCGTCATTTTGGCGAACAACATTTGATGTCAAAGTAGTGGTCGGGCCCGCCGACCTCTCATTTCAACTATGGTCAAAGGACAAGAGAATACGGAGTAGCTCGCATGAGCCCATTGCTGTGAAATGGATGCCGGCTGGGGAATATTGATTCTATACCTGCAATCGAGACCTTGAGCCAATTTACTACGTGAGGGTTTGGCTTTCATAATTCACATTGCTTTGTTTTAATAAGGACAAAGACTATGAACATGCACTCCAACTGTTTCTAGCTACCTGTGATGTTTGAGGCGTGGAGATAGATCGGATGGGGGATGCAGGATTTCGTGGATGCCTGGTTTGTCAGGTGTATAAGGTGCAGATAACGTATTCGGTAAGCGAGCTGGACATCTGATCACGACCGGCTTATCTTATCGTAATGAAAGAAAAGCGCTAGTGGATGCCTAAGGCCTCGGTCGCACCTCTAGTTTCGCATTCCCCATCAAAACATCTCGAATTTTCAATCACCATTTTCTCGACAACTAGAGGGTTGTGCAATTTCTAAGGCAGTTAGGGGTAATGCCATATATACTGTTTCAACTCCCCAGAATTTCGGACCGATCCGAGGCCTCTAGACCTCTGCAGTCTGGCGAGGAAGTTCACCTACAGTTAGGGTAGACCCACTTTTTTCTCCCATAGTAAAAAATAGAGTTTCACTTGCAGTCTGCCAGACTGCAGCTGCCCCGTGGGATAGGTGCGTTTTCGCGAGTGACTTAGCACATAAGAGTTGGTTCTAGGTCTGCTGCTTCTTCCACTCTTCTTTGGTAATTTCATACAACACTTCGCCATGCTCACTACCAGGCAGCGGATCCTCAAAGCTAAGATGAAACGTCTTTGCATGTCTCATTCCACATTTCTCCATCACATGCCGAGACCCCTCATTGATAAACATCGTGGTTCCAATAACCCGCTCCACCATTGGATTATCCGAAAATGCATACTCAAGAAGTAGACGAGTACCCTCAGTCGCAAGACCCATGCCCCAATATTGGCGACGGAGTCGGTAGCCTAATTCAAGCGTAGCTGGCATTTCCTGCTCAGATCCTGCGAGAGAGAACCAGCCGAGGAATTCTCCTTTAAGGCCCTCAGCAATCCACCGGCCGAACTTAGGCCATCTGGTGTAGTAATCAATGAGATGCTGAACTTCAAAACTGACTTCCTCCACTGAGGGTGGTTCATGGTCTAGATATGTCATAACACCTTCGTCGTTGTTCAGGCGACAGAGAAGCTGAACATCATCCGGAATTAATCGACGCAGGCAGATGTGCTTGGTGGACATCAACGTTGGGTTCGGTGGAGCGGCCATTATCGTCAGAATTGAATGGGTTGCGGCAAAAATGGTCAGTGTTAAGGCACTTCAAGCCATGGACCAGATGGATTTAGAAAGGTTTTACTCGCATATATATTAAAGGCACACCAAGACTCACACAGTCAGAATTAACAAGAGTTTTGGGTCTCAAAGCCCTCATACGATTCTTCGCCATTGAACTGTCTCCGCAATTGGCAGTCGGAGTCCCAAAAGCGTTAGCGTGTAACCAGTCACAACAGAACCGCTGCGGCACCACCGGTCGACCACTTGAGCTAACATTGTGTTACGCACAGCTAACTGGGCACAGTTGTGTTAGACAAAAAAGATCCGAAATCATGTGCGTTATCAGATGATTCTCTCGCTTTGTTCGGATCGGGAATGTAACCCCGAGGGTTTGGATTTGGCTTAAGCGATGCTAGCTCGGTCTATGTGCCTGAAAATCATGAAATTTTGCCCGCTCAAAAACAAATTTTCTGCTATGGCCAACGTGTCAGGTCAATAAGTAATTGAGGGGGTCAGGATGGTTTGATCAAGTAGTGAGATTGATGAAGAGAGTCGGTCGTAACCGGCCAGATCCCATATAGCCCGGAGTGCTCATACATTATCATTGGGGAAAAATGCCAATAAAGTCTATGTAATGTCGAGTTCATTGATCCACTCCACAAAGGAAATCGAGTCCTGTCTTTGATTATAACGCTTCCAGTAAGGTGTCGTTCGACGAGGTCGTGGTGGATCGTGGAAAGCGTCGACCACCTTGATGGGTTTTCCTTTATAATAAAACATACCGATTGAAAGGGATTGTATCCTGGAGTGATCACGTAGATATGCAAGCAGCTCTTGGCAGATCTGCACACCTAGCTCTTTAAATTTTCTTTTTTTGAGATCTCGGGATTTTGGGATCACTTGTCCAAATAAGAAAGTCGAGGGTCACATGTTTCAGCGTGGATAAAGCCGTTTTGAGGAACTCCTTGAAGGATGAAACAGTGGTTACGATATTTTTGAGCGATAAGACCGATAGACGAGAAAACTTGAAGTGTTGCGAGATCCAGTCGAAGTGTGCATCTGCCAGGTCAAGATCATCTTCATCTTGCTCTCGGCAGAACGATAATATCCTCGTACTGGCGGGAGGCATCGTGAGATCCAGACTCTGGATTGCTGGGGCTGCCTTGGCAAGGAGCGGCAGCAGCCTGTTCTTCTTTATTTCGGAGCAATTCTTTCTTTCCTCCCAGATCACTGATTCCCGCACGAGAAATGCGACTTGTTCTTCAGCTTCGCATAAACTCTGCCGCTCACTGGCTTGGATATGGGCCGACGAAATTTGAACAGAAAGGTGCTGCAATTGTTGAAAGGTTGGTAGCAAGGCTTCTTCCCCTGATGGTGTGAGTGATATTCCATCATCCACCATCATTCCGCCACAAGTCTCGGGCGCTGCGATCCGGGTGTGGGTCGTGCCGAGAGCTGCCAAAAGTGTAGAGAAGACATGGGATTGAATTAAACTGCCTCGCCAAGAGCTGCTGCGAGAACACTCAGGCTTACTATCCCGTCGATCCATAGGATAGACCGGATTGAAACCAAGTTGTCTTTGCAAGCTACTTGTTCCCCTCATCACTTTCGGAAATCTCTTAGTATCATCGTCTGAATGGCCAATATAGTTTCTCAATCCTGTCGTGTGCAAATTTGAAAGCAAAGGCAGACATTCCTCCAGGGTATCTTGGAGTCGCGTTGTTTTCGTGCTTGTTTCTCCTAGAGATGATAAAAGAACCTGAAAGTGGTCGACTACCGCATCCTTGTAGATCACATAGCGATCTTCTATTGCCAACTCTGAAAGTGAGGCAAGGTAAGGCTCGTTTGGTGGCGAGCACGCTGGACTTTCCACGGCATTTACTTGAGGCCCCCCATGGAGTCGCATAAGGTTACGGACTAGTGGTTGGAATTGCCGCCGTTGTTTCTCGAGATCATTCTCCACCTCGATCGGTCGCTTCATCTCATCAAGTGTCCAGGTATAGTCCGCGAGAAAAAGACTGGGGACAATCCACAATCTCTGGTGTCAAGAATAAGTTCATACTCGATCGCAGGTGCATATGTCCAATGAATGCACTCACTTTGACGTGTTGGCTGAAGATCTCGTGATGGGCCACGTACTATAATGCCCGCAGACCTTCGCTGGTGAGAGTGAGATAGAATTCATGGAAGGTCTCATGGGCAAAATAATGGTACGTTCCAATATTCATCGCCCTACAACTAAGTCGCATTGCGCAAACATTCTTGAACGCTAGGCTTTGGTATATTTGGCTCCATAATTCTGGGGGAAGAGAGTTCATAGAATCTTCCATCATGTGAAGCGACTGGGTTTGAAGGACGCAATGACAGGAAGAAAACGAAAGGAACAAATATGACTGAGAAGTTCGAAAAGAGGAAACTAGACTAAGGCGAGAACCTCGACTACGCAAGTTACACGGGTTGATGCCTGTATTGTAAGGCCGCGGTATTTAACGTCAATTTCAATATCCAAACTTGGTAGTGTGTATTTGTTCTCGACAATCTATACCTAGGCAGAACCTGACAATAGTTGCTCCTCAAGTCCTAACTACTTAAGTACGTATATATCTCTAGAGGGTACCTAGGTACTAGGAATCTCCAGGGCTGGAGTCTTAACCTTGGAAGGCCTGGAAAGCAGAACCAAAATTACCTAGGTATGTACAGTCCATCAGTTAAAATTTATACGACACCGATACAAATATATGTCTCAAGCCAGAGGCTCGTGCAATCAGTACCAATCGCCGGATTCCATGCTTCAATCTCAGCAACCGTGACACCCTGCGACGTCGCAATACTGGAACAGCCGTCACCCGAGACTACATAATAGAATGTGTTACAGTCCGAGACTATGCCGGTCTGGACAGATGTCGGCGTAGTAATGCCATTACCAGTGGAGGTAGTAGTAGTAGTAGTAGCAGTGGTGGTGGTAGTAGTGGCAGTATAACCAACAATGCCAACGCAAACGTAATCCCCCAGTCCCAGATACGCACAGCTGGTGCCGACAGCAGGGTTCCAGGCATAGAAATTGGTGAGGGAAATCCCTTGACTCGTTTCAATGGCCGAGCAGCTGTCACCTGAAACGACCAAGTAGAAGGCATCGCAGGTAGCAGCCATACCGGTCTGAATGGGAGATGGTGTAGCAATACCGTCACCAGTGCTTGTGCTAGAAGTAGCAGAAGTTGCTACTGCCTTAGAGCTATCAAGACTGGCTGTTGCCACTGCGGACACGCTGATTCCGTATCCAAGGATTTTGATGCAGACATAATCTCCAATATCCACATTTGCGCAGTCGGTACCGACCGCAGGATTCCAGCTATAGAAGTCGGTAAGAGCGATATCGGCATCAGAAGCGATTGCCGCACAGGTGTCCCCAGATGCAACAAGTTGGTATGAATAACAGATGTTGGTCATGCCAGTCTGAATCGGCGATGGACTGGAAAGGCCATCTCCGATTACGGTTGATGAGCTGACCCCGACGGTATTGCTCGCCTTGCTTGTAGCGAAAGTACTCAATGGAGAAGTTTTGCTGGTCATGGTAAAGTCGAAGTTCACTTGGACACAGTAGTAGAACCCGGACACCAGTGCGCACGTAGATGATATCTGGAAGAGTTCGGGATTCTGCGAATGTTTTCATGTTAGAACCAAAGATTCTGCATGGGGAGAGTTGCCAGTGGGCATGTACTCACCCAAGTTGCAAACTGATTTAGTGTGATTCCATTCTCTGACTCAATCTCAGCACAAGTAAGACTACTGGTGCCGTATACCCAAGCACTGCAGTAATGTCTGAAATTGTGAGCTCAATTCCTGTTGAGGCCATCTCCAGGCAATTAACCGCGTTGTCTATACGTAATCCAGTGTCAGCGCATGTATCGAAGATAAAAAAAACAGAAATGAAACCCACAGCTATAATCTTCAATATAATTGTCATTTTTTGTGAAGGCACCGCTCTCAGTCTCGGTCCAAAATGATGTCAAGTGGATCAATTCATGAAAGAGAGTGGTCGGTCCAGGAACTTCCCAGTTGATTGTGTTGATGTCAGTCTGTCCGATTGTCCTCGTGTTTTCTTTCGATTTCAGATCCGCCAGACTGCCCTCTGTGAGACCGGCTGGGCACATCACAACCAGAGGCGAGACACCATCAATAGACACGGGTTGGGCCATAACGGTCTTGAGGGCTGCAGCCTGACCAGCAAATACGTGACCTAAAAAAGGCTCTTTTGTCGTATCCAGAGGATTGCAGATGTTGGTGCGGGATAGATCATCTCTGACGACGTAGTACTTGTGGTTGTTTGGAAGAAGATAGGGCAGAGAGTCAGAATTGGAATCATAAACCTGAGAAATCTGAACGTCGCTCTCATCGATTTCCCACACGGTTTCTTTGCCATTCAAAGAGTCCCATTCCATCACAGAATCTGTCCATTCAAACGGGTGGAAGCTGGTTCCGCCGCAAAGCAACTCGGGGGGGGGGCTTTCAGGGGCGATAAGGTCATTCCCGTCAAGGAAGTCCTGAACTTGGTCGTTGACATCTAAGCAATAGTGCGTGAGAATGCAGATCTAAAAAGTCGCAGCATTATCCCTAAGGTTTCCATACCCAGCACCCGTTGCCATTGCTCGGTGTAATCTTCCCACTTTTTTCCCTGTATATTCGTTTTCGTGATCCAGTTCAAGTCATCGTCCATTGGGATGCCAAGCCAGGCAGCGAGCAGACATCGTGCGACATAGCCGTCTTTCTCCTCTGGAGTTTTCGAAATAGCGGTGACGGCCGAGTTAAAAGCGTCCGCCAGAGCCATCGCATCGATAAGGAATGCGTTTATTGTCTCATTATTGCAGGTTCCTGTAGCCCCCAGAAAAGTAAAGAAATCCTCAGCTTGCTGAGCGAATGTGCTAGCGAGGAACATGTGGAAGTATCGATAACATATTCTTACATATGTGATCGTGTAATATAACATGCCTCGTCTAAGCTATCTGTCAGACCCTGCCTAAGCGCTCTAGCCTATAATAAAATATGACCCGCACTTTCCTACTTTATTCCCTTTCCTATTCTAGAATCTCTTACATTCACTACGTCTATGCTACTCTACGCATACCAAATCTTAGCCTAAAGAATCACTAAACAACGAAGCCTTTAAAATGCCGTCAAATATATCTTTCCTAGTAATTCTTTATATTCGAGATTACATTGACCATGTCAAACCGGATCTAAAGCGCCCCGGCAAAGGGCTCTCTATACAACTGCGTGTTTCACTTAATATACCGGAAAAGGATGTTTAATCTGAAGATGTTGAACAAAAAGAGATTCCTACCTTAGTTAGATTCTTTAATAAAGGAAACTGTAAGAAGATTACCAGGTCAGTGTTACGAGCCAAGTCTTGATGAAAAAGAGTGCATTCAACTAGAATTCTAAACATGGGGAAGGAAGAAGGAGAGAGAAAGGGAAGAGAGAAGATACACCATATGGGTGCAAAAACTATCACATGACCACTCCCCCATCCGATCTCCAGATCGTAACATCACCCCTAGGTAAAAGTGCATTCAGTCCCTGAATGCAGGGCTTATCATCGTCAACATGGTCATCAAGTATCCTATCGTCCATAGCAGCCTCCATCCAATTCTGTAGACGCAGTGGAGGTCCTGGCTTAGCAGGGTAAGCTTCATGAAACCTCTCGATCTTTGCTGCCGCGTTTTTGAAATTGCTCGCAGGATACCATTGAAGATCGAGGTCATGACCGAGCTACTGGACTCGATACTGCAATTTCCGGTAATGTAGTCTTGAATCCATGATTTTATCAACCTCCCATTCATCAGATTCTCCAACCTAGATCGGTGGAGGGGGATCGACATGCTGTTGATTGAGAGGTTCCGTAGTAGCGGCCTTACGGAGCTTGCTCGGGTTAAAGACTAGGTGCACTCTGATAGACGGTAGCAGATCGACCTTATATGCATTTCCCACCTTTTCGATGATCTTGTATGGTCTACTAGCGGTGTGCGAGAGCTTCCGGCTAGGACGATCATAGAGCTAGTCCTTCGTTGTAACAAACACCTCGTCGCCCACGTTGAAATCTTCTTCTCGGCGGTACTTATTCGCCTGCCGGATCTGTAGTTACTAGGAATCTGATGCTTGTTTTTTCACTTCCTACCAGATATCGTGTAGCCGAGTAAGCATGTCCGAAGCTTCTCGCTCGCTTGACGTTAAGTGACCGCGGTCTTTCTAGTCAAACGATATTATAGGATCATACCCTCGTTCCGTAAAGAATAGTGATATCTTAGTCGTGCTCTACGGGAGAATTGATGCCGCGAAATCCACCATTAGAAGGTAGTCTAACCAGTCGTCTTGATTATGTTCGATGTATAGGCGGAGCCGTTACGCTATATACTGATTTACAATTTCACTTTGCCTATCGGTTTGGGGATGGTAGGCCGTAGACAACTTCCTCTTAATACCAAGGATTCGACAGAATTCAGTCTAGAACTCAGAGACAAACTAACCACCTCGATCCGACACGATAGAGGAGGGGATACCAGTGGTTCGGATTATATAGTTCATAAACAAACGAGCCATCTTCTTCGCATCGGTATCCTTATAGCAGGGGATTAATATCGGTCTCTTAGTTAAACGGTCCACAACAACAAATACTACATTAAACCCGTTTTTATCCTTAAGGAATGATCGAAAGTCTATTGTGATATGCTCTTATAGTCTGTTCGGTATCTCTAGTAGGTGAAGAAGTCTAGGGGTCCGGTCTCTCCAGGCCTATGTTCGTTTACACACTAGACAGTTGTCGACATATCTCTTCACATCGGTTGCCTAGCCAGGCTAGTGATACCGGGCTAAGACCAGCTTTTTTAACTTCTCGATGCCGGGATATGCGGTCAGAGGTTGGCGGTGAATATCATTAAGTAATCGTACTCGGAGATCGTCTTTATCAGGTATTTCAAGTCGGCCGTCAAATAACAGTAGGTCGCCCTATAATGTCTATCGCGAATCACTTCCTTTACGGGCTATATATCGGAAACTATCGAGTTCAGAGCTAGTTTAGTTTATAAATTTCACTCGTTCAACAATTTCATCAGGTACGAATACCTCAACTAGTGCAATCTGCGGGTAGACTCCTTTTTCTAAACAGTCACTCGGAAGCATAGTAAGGTAACGCCCTCTATTAACACACGGGGTATCTTTCCGTAAGAGCACGTCCGCGATTATGTTGTTCTTTCCTAGACGATATTTAATCACGAAGTGGAACTAGGAAAGGAATTCGCTCTATCGAGCCTACCTCTAGTTCATTTGTCGCGTAGTCATAAAGTATTCTAAAGACTAATGATTAGTAAGGATTTCAAACCGATCCTTTCGAGAGAGTCCTTCGAGTTCGGGCCGCCATTCCTAGAGTGCACGGATAATAGCGAGAAGCTCTTTATCCCGAATCTCGTAATTTCGTTCCGTAGTCTGCATGGTTTTCGAGAAGAATATAATAGGATACTAGCTTTCACTTTCGCTATGGTATTATGTGAGTGTAGCTCCGATAACTCCGTCGGAGGCATCGGTCTCGACCCCGAGTAAGTAAGGAAGGATCGTAGTAGCGTAGGATTAGGGCGGAAATTAGTCTCTTCTTTAACTCCTAGAACGCAGTTTCGCAAGTATCAGACTATTCGTAAGGCGTATCCTTGCGAGTTAACTGGTGTAGTGGTTTCGAAATCAAACTATACTTATCGATAAATCGTCGGTAGAAATTACAGAAACCAAGGAATGACTATACGCCTTTTACTATTACGGGGGGCCTCTATTCGAGGATTACCTTAATCTTTTCAGGGTCAATAGAGATGCCTTCTATAGTGACAATAAATCCGAGAAATTTAGTTCGCTAGACCGAGAATTCACACTTAGACAGTGCAACCTGCAATCCGGCTTTTCGTAGACGAGAGAGAACCTCACGCACGTGCTGCTAATGTTCCTTAAGGGTTAGGCTATAGATCAGGATATCATCGACGAATACAATCGCGTACTTATCTATACATTCACGGAGAACATCGTTCATAAATCTCTAGAAGGTAGCCGGTCTATTGGTAAGTCCGAAAGGCATTACCTTATATTTATAGGATCCGTATCGGGTTCGGAACGTTGTTAGATCCTCGGCATTTACAGTGAGTCGAATTCGGTGGAAGCCTTACCGAATGTCGAGCTTTATAAAGAATTTCGCGGTACTCGTTCGTTATAGAGCCTCATCAATTAAGGGAAGCGGGTAATAATCTTTTTTAATGATTACATTTAACTTTCGAAAATCCACGCAGAACCGGAGACCTCTATCAGGCTTCTTCGCCATTAGGATCGGTAAAGCGTAGGGAGCGGAACTTAGTTCGATAAAACCCTTGTCGAGGTTCTCCGTGATATACTTCTTCGCGGCTATTAGTTCATCGAGTGAAAGTTTGTAGAGAGGATAGTATCCGGGCTATGCCTAAGCTTTAAGGATGATGTCGTGGTCGACACCTGATCGGTACGGCGGGAGTTTATCGGATTTCTTCTTCGAAAACATATCTGTAAGATCGTGGTACTGTCTAGGGAGCGTTTGTTTAATCTCACTAATCTTAGGGTCGCGATTGTTACGCTACGAGGTCTTCACTTCTAAGATATAATTAATTTCATAGAGTGATGTTGAAAAAACCTCGATCCCTTTGGTTTCTGCTTTCGTGTGTAGCCGATTGAATCCTATACGGCCAATTACCTGCATATCGATTATAGCCGGGTTTGTAGATTATGTCGTAGACGGAGCACTATCCGTTCGTTTCTCCGGGTTTCGCTCTATGCTTTAGTGCCTCTAGGATGGAACGTAGTCCTTAAACAAACGATCCCTCCTATTAGTATTAACCTGATGTTCGGGGTTAATAGCTAGTCTGCGCAGAATTTCGGTAGGTGTAGGAAGGGCCATCTGACGGGACACCTCCTTAAATAGCGACGCTTTATTCGGCCAGATCATTCGATAACGACGACAGTTAAGAAGAACGTCATATTCGGCGAACCATATACGCCTAAGGATAATGTCATATCGACCAAGATCGGCCACTAGCATCGGGACTTGCTTACAAATCCTTCTATCCACATAAAGAAAGAGGATAACGGCATGTGTGATTAGTTAAGCTCTCTTACCATTAAATCTAACCACCGGACATTTATGATCTAGTTTAAAAGTATTAAGACCGAATTGTTTTCTAAGTAATAACACTAGTGAAGTATCGATAAAGATAGAACCATTAGCTCCGGTGTCACTAAGGGCTGAAATAGAGAAGGAACGTCTATTATGCATAAGTTAGGTACTAAACACTAGGCTATTATTAGGACTTCTAAGTAGTTTCTGTAAATTCAGTCCATAAAGGGACACTTCTATTCCGCCTAAGAGGGAGACTTTTCCTAGGCAGGAGCTTTTCCCGGATCCTCACGGTCATACTCTAACTCTTCGAGGTTGTAAGACCCCGTTACGAGGGTCTTGGGACTTAGGTGGATTCGGGCAATAGAATGGAGAAAGCAGTAGACAGGTTCAATGCTGAACTAATCGCTGGAGTCCAAGACTCCAGCCTCTGAACTGTTTATATACAAATGTGGGGTCATGTGAGGTCATGAGCCCTCGCATTGCGGGTCTCAGCCCTGGGTCTAGTTCGCACCTGCGAACTGGCCATCTCGCAGTCTCACATAGACTGCGAGATATATATCGTCAGACCTGCTTAGTACTTGGGTCCTGACAGAGGTCGACCATACGGGGAGAAGTAGTTGATATAGCTGATATAGCGAGTACCGCAGTCTTCTTTTTCGGGTAGTCGCGGGTCATATGTCCTTACTCACGGTAGGAGAAGCAACGTCCTTCTCTTATCAAGGTCTGTCGTTCGTCGGTAGTTAATATGGTTGGTTAAGTCGAGCCTTCGCGCTTCACACGGATAGAGGGAGTCTGACTCGGTGCGGAGGTAGTGCCTCCTCCTGCACCCGAGGTACGGGCTCGGGTTCCTGACCTAGACTTGGCTTCTATTTAAATGTTGATCTCGTGTGACATGCTCTAGCAGGTGAGGGTAAAAGTCTCAAACGGAACTGCCTCGCTATAGAGTGCCTATATCACCTGAGACTGTAGAAGGTATGGCAGTTTCGAATAAAGGTCACGCTTTCGGTTCTCCACTACTACCCCTGCCTCTTCTGCAAGCTATATGAACTCAGCGAGGAAGTCGGCGTAATCATCCTTCGGTTTCATCTTTAATTTGTGGTATATAGTGTACGCTTCGGCCTTCCGGTTCGGGTTCGAGAAAACAGTTCGGAGGTGAGAGATCATATCATTAGAGTCGACATAAGGGAGAGTCGCCGAGGGATTTATCCGGGGTGTAATATATAACTAGGCCTTACCCTCGTAACGGCTCTGGATATAGAGTAGTCGATAAATAGGGAGTGGGTAGTGATCGGCGTTCGCCTTAAGCTTCTGTCTGATTGTAGTTTCCTAGGTCTTAAATCGCACAAGCTTGCCATCACTTAGCATCGGTGCATCTAGCATCTTCACTGATTTCTGGATACGGGCCTCCATAGTCGGTGCGCCAACATTCCGTCCTTCCTATGACGCGAGGACACGGATTGCCAAAGCGCCGTGCTCCCGCCTTGCATGTTCACAATGAGCAATAGCTTTATCCCGTTCGAGAGTTATCTTATCGACTTTCTTCTTCAGCTATATGAGTTCACCTTTAAGCTCCCGGTATCGGACGGCGAGCTCGTGGAAGCTTATCTTGGAGGGGGTATTAAGGTGTTCACGTAAAGAGGGATCCTCTTCCTTATCGTCGTCATCGATGACCTCTTCCTGCTTAACTCTCGCATCAGGGGTTGGAGTTGCTAGGTCAGGTGTTTTAACTTCTTCTTCTTCGTTATCGCGCACAGCTGGCTATCGGCCACGATGCGATATGGTTCTCTTTGATCTAGCCATTCTGATTGGTTGGTGGATAAGGTTCGGTTCGGGGTCTTGGCTTTACGATGCCAAGGAACGAAGTGGGGTTAGATAGAACCGAGACCAATCACAATGAAGGTCTGTGCAGTTAACTGTCCAGTGAATGAAAAATGATGTTTAGAATTATGTTACGAGCCAAGTCTTGATGAAAAAGAGTGCATTCAACTAGAATTCTAAACATAGGGAAGGAAGAAGGAGAGAGAAAGGGAAGAGAGAAGATACACCATATGGGTGCAAAAACTATCACATGACCACTCCCCCATCCGATCTCCAGATCGTAACAGTCAGGGGTGATCAGCCTGTCAATCCGGTAAGATACGATGATTAGACTGCGACATCGCCCATGGACGGGCTGGTGGGCATTGCCCATGGGCCTTATGTAAGCGGGCAATGCCCACCGTGGGCATGCCTATGGGCCTTTTTAGTAAGCAGAATTCCTTGACCTCGTGACTTGCATTATTTGTGCATTTTAGCTCTGTATTTTGAAGTAATTTGATTACATGTAGACAGCAGTGGCATTGGCATACAGTAGGTTTAACAGGCATTTATTATAGACATACATTCACACTAATACGATACAAATTGATCATCACTAGGTTTGCCACGCTTCCTTGCTTCTCTTAACCCAGGGCGCCTTTGAGTGCCACTCTCATCTCCATAAAGAGGGAGATGAGGACTGCTCTCATCTTCGCTGTCGACTAGCTCACTTCTCTGTCGCTTCCGCGCACTTAGCACTATAGAAGGACAAGGAAGCTGACTCGCCATTACAAACTCGTGCTCGATTAGTCCGACAGGATCATTATCCTCGCAATCCTCACCATCGCTGATTGGTTCAGGCATGTCAGTGGTAAGCTTAGCCTCTCTCTGTTCGTCTGCTTCTTGTATAGAATCTAAGGACATATCCTTATCGGGTAGTTCTTCTATTTTAATATCGAATTAGGTTCTACACCGGAATATCATGATATCCTGGACTGTCTTCGCACTTAGCCGCCCACGCCGGTAGTGGCAGACATCCCGTGCTAAATTAAAAAGACGTTCAACTCCAGCGCCTGTTACGGGAATAGAGAGAGTGTCGCGAGCAACACTTGAGAGAATCGGGAATTCATTCTCATATTCCTTCCAGAATTACAAAGGATCGACTTTTCTCCTTATTATAATAGGTATAAGTATTCCCGCTCGTAATAATAGTGAATATAACGTACGCTTTTCAAGATATCTAGCGAGTTCGTGCTCTAATGTTGATAGATTGGAGTGAATGTGAGGCCGAAGGTCGAGGAGAGCGTCTAGGTCACTTGTACTGGCTAAGTGACGGTAGGGGGGTTGCTCTCCTCGTAGGGATTGTGTCTAGGTGTGTCTTTGGGCGTAAGGAGCTATAAATTGGCGAAGCGTTTCCTTATACTGATTACTCTATTTTATATCGTTCTCCGACGTACCCCACGCCTTACTTGAGAAGAAGTGAAGCTTATGCTAGGGTGCAAGAATTGTTCTAATCGCGTAGAGACTACTATAGATCTCTTTCGTCTTTATGTAGTAAGATGAAAGCTTTGCTATCCTAGTATTAAGGGCTTATAGTATCGCCTTCTTCTAAGGTATGGTTTTCGGAGTGAGTCGTGCGATCGATTCCTCGAAGTGCTCGAAGAGGGCGTTATAAATACCAAAAACATGATATACCGTTATTTCTTTGGTCTTTAAAAGCACTATGGTAAAGCGGTAGAAAGGCTTTATGATATATAGAAGGTAGTCGACCTGCCGCTATTCTACCTTACTAAGTTTGTATTTCTAGGTCTTAATATTATTATAGTATTCATCGTAGGGCTTGCTAAGGCGTTTCGCACGACGAAGTATTAGGAAGGTTGAATTCTAGCGTGTACGGACATCTTAGATAGGCGCAAGTTTCGTTCTATTAGTCTAGAGACGGAAGAAATCATCGCGACGTTAGGGGCTTGTATTAATGAATATAGCAAGCCCTCGAATCTATATATTTATTAGGTATGTTAAATAATAAAAATAATAATATACTTACCTTAATAAGGGTTTGTACAATGACTTGTTCACTCTAGGAAGCACGGAGCGATCGAGCTTAGGCTTAGGCTTAGACATCTAAAACATTCCGATCTATAATATCGTTCTAGGGATCGGCCTTCACTGATCTAAGTAGCTCGCGAAGGCTTAGCTAGATAATATGTGTAAGATAAGGGATTCGAACAACCACTAGGCTATTCGGTAGTTTAAGGGAGTTAATAGAGTCTTGAACTACCTATACCAAAGTTATATTATTTAATACGTTATCTAATATAATCGCTAACACGCGATTAGTAATATTAAGCTTCTTAAAGATCTCTATAAGCACTTTACTTAGATTCACACTAGAATGCGCCCTATTAAGTGGTTCGAAACTAAGTAGGAGCTCACGGTAATTCTAGTCTCGGTCGATAAAGTACCCTATAATCGCTATAAATGCTTGCTAAAAAGGCGATATCTAGCAGTTAAGGGCGATTAAGAGCTTCGTATCTTTTAGTAAGGTAGCGAGAATTGTATACTACTCCTTATCGACCAATTTCTTTAGCCGGCGTTAAGCAGTACGAGGATGGAGTAAAGTAGGTTTAGCTAGAGCCTTTTATGCCATTCGAATCAAGGAAGCAAACTGTTTCCTCTCAAGTATCCGGAAAGGTAGGTTTAGACTAGTAAGACATTTAATCTGCTCTCTTTCCTATTTATCATTCGAGAATTTTAAGATATAAGAAGGCTCTAGTGCCTAATATATAGTAGTATTAGTTATCTTAAAGGGTATAATCATATAAGACTTACCGATATATACTATATAGTTGTTACGCACAGCTAACTGGTCACAGTTATGTTAGATAGAATCGGGAGATACTTCTCTGATTTCCTGCAGACTTCCAACCTCAACGATCTGTCTCTCAACCGTTCCGTTGCCTAGCAGGCCTTACTGCGGAATGAGTCCTGTCGAGGGTATCGAGGAACGATGCCAGGTAGTGCGCCGAATAGATCTATACCGAAGTATTGGTCTAGTCGTAGTGGTTGTCAAGTTATAATCAAGTAAAGAGTCTCTGAAGTTCCAAAGGTATTCACAAGTAACAATGTATGATTGAAGACGAAGAACTAAACTAGATACATGAAATGAGCGTCCTTATATATCCCTGAGTTCTTCCTGTGTAGATGTGTAGATGGTAGATATGTAGATTTGTCTTGGCGGAATCTACCCATCGACCATCGACCTGTTCTACTACTTGTATGATCACGTGAGGCTAACCGTCTCATGGTGTATTGCGGTATTATCGGAGATGGTGAGTGGAAGGCCGGAAACGGCCTTCTCGCGGTAAGCCTTGTTTGTGTGCGAGTATAGTTCGTAATTACTAACAGGGGGCCAGAAACGGCTCCCAAGTCGAAGTGTTTCCCTGACTCGTACTGGGGGTGCCCTAGTATAGGATCTTGCACGTGATCTGCATAACAGATTGATCGATTGGCTCCTGGTGGCCCATCTGTAGGTCGCAGTCCCCACATGTGATTGGTGACTGGTATGTCCGTAACATCACCTCCCCCTCTCTTAGGAGTTTCGTCCCCGAGACTCATAAATCGGCGGTCCCCCCTCAGGTAGGTGATGGCGTTTTTTTCTTTCTCAAAATAATGCGTTCTCGTCATGCCTAAACGCAAGGCTGACTCCGTTCTTGAAGGCGTCCCCAAACTTCCCCGTGATTCTTCGATCGCGCATCATACTCAAGCTGATTATATTGAAGTAAACAGTTTTGTGACTGCCACCCCGTGTGATCATTGTCTTGATTCCGGTGTTCCCTGTATGATAGATCGGTCTCGTCGCTATTCGAAATGTGCGTCGTGCACTCGCGCTAGCCGTGTGTGTAAGCGGGAGTTCTATACTGGCCGCGAATGGGATTTGTTGCGTCGTGCCGAGGACAAACTATCCTCCGACATTGAAAAGAATGAAGATGAGCTCGACCTGTTAGAGCCCGAGCTGAGTGCTTTGCAGTCTCGCCTTACAGAGCTGTATTAACAGATGTTGAATAAAACAAAACAATATTAGGAAGCTATGGCCCGTTAACGGCGCCTGCGAAAACAAATGGCTTTCCTTAAACAAAAGGGTTTTAAAATGTCCGATCATGATGCTGAGTTGCTTAAAATTCTTAATGAGCATCAATCGTCCCTAGGGCAAGCTGCTTCCTCTGCCCTTGATCTCGAGTAGCTTGCCGCTACTGCTGAGAATCCGAATTTTGATCAGATGTTGGCTGAGATTGCTGACCTTCCTTTATCTTTCTAGAATGGTCCTTCTCTTTCTGGTTTCGATGCTTCCTTGCCTTCCGCTGTGTAGGAGTCCGTTTCGCCTCCTGGTAATACTTCTGTACTAGCTGGTGGTAGCCCCTTAAGTTCGCGATAGGTTCCTATGTGTTTTCTGAGGTAGGGTACCCTTTCCACTGGACTAGAAGCTGTTGCTGATTATCGTACCATCTGTCCGCTAGAATTTGTTCGACTTCATATTCGTCCTCAGTTTCTTCCTCGATTTCCACGTTTATAGCGATTTCGGCGTTGTTTGGTGCGGGTTCGAGTAACGAGATATGAAACACTAGATGGAGTTTCTTTATACTTCCTGGTAGCTTTAGGCGATAATTGACTGGTCCTAGTTTTTCCTTAATTTTGAACGGTCCTAATCGTAGGTGGTCCAATTTGTTGCTAGGTCGCTTGGTTTTGATGTTGCGGCGTAAAAGATAAACCTTTTCCCCCTTTTCAGGTCAGGTCCCTCTATGTGTTGTTGGTCGTAGTATTTTTTCATGCGTAGATTGATAAAGTCAATGTCTCTGGATAGCTGTAAGTGCAGCTATCGTAGCCCGGTGGCCAGTAATCTCGATGATTCTGCTATAGCTACTTTTCCCTTAGGTTGTCCAAATACTATAGGGTGATACCTATAGTTGGCAAAGAACGGTGATTCTTTCGTGGTGGCGTGTTCTGCGTTGTTGTACGCTAGTTGAGCCACTAGTAATAGTCCTACCCAGTTGTCTTGCTGGTAGTTCACGTAGCATCTTAGGTACTGTTTGACCGTTTGGTTCACTCTTTCTGTTTGTCCGTTGGTTTGCGGGTGGTATGCGGTGGAGAGTCTAAGCTTAATACCCATTTAGTCCGTAAAGGATTGCCATATCTTTGATGTGAACAACTTATCTCTGTCCGAGGTAATCTTGCTCGGTATCCCGTGGTTCGATACCACATGTCGCAGTAATATCGTTGCCATTTCTTGAGCGGTAATAGTTTCTATAGTTGGTAACATATAGGCGTATTTGGTGAGCCTATCAACTACAACCATAATCATGTCGCATCTATCTGAGACTGGAAGCTTCGTGATGAAGTCTATCGTGATCTATTCCTATAGGTTCTTCGGTGTCTCCGATAGCTATAATTCCCCGTAGGGTGCGTGTCGTGCTGGTTTGTTTCTTTAGCACGTATCGCATTCTCGGATATAGAATCTGACCTTGCGGTTCATGTTTGGAAAATAATAATTTCGCGAGACATGTTCCACTGTCTTTTCTACTCCTATATATCCGTGCGTAGCGTCATCGTGGTGTCGTCTAATAACCTTGTTTCTTAGTTTTATCGGGACATATATTAGTCCGTGCGCGTAGACCATTCCTATGTCGTCGGTAGTGAAGTGTTCACTGCTGACCTATTCCTCTAGGATTGATTTTGCTGTTTCGTCGTTTTTCTACGCGTCTCGGATTTGTTGTGTGAAGTCGTCTTCGACTTCTATTGTTGTAGCCAGAATTTGTTTATTATACGAGATGGTTCCGTCGTCGTTTTGTTTCAGTACGGTAGGTAGCGCTGCTTTAGTACCTAGCTCGTAATCTGGTCGTCTGCTTAAAGCGTCTGCTTGACTGTTCTCTGTCCCTTTATAGTGTTCGATTCTAAAATCGTATTGCGCAAGGGTTTCAGCCTATCGCGCTTGTCGTCGTATGAGAACCTTCGTGGTAGTAAAGAATGTAAGGTTCTTGTGATCGGTTCTGACCGTCACCGTGTATTTTGCTCCTTCTAGGTATGCTCTCTAGACTTGGAATGCTGACACTATAGCCAATAGTTCCTTGTTATGCACATCGTAGTTGAGCTCGGCTGGGATCATTTTTCTAGACCAAAATGCAACTGGTCGGGAAATCCCATTTTCAGTTTGAGTCAGCCTAGCTCCTAGAGCGTAGTCTAAGGCGTCCGTTTCTAACACGGTTGGTAACTCGTAATTAAAGTTTGCTATAATCGTTTTCTTACTGAATAGTGCTTTTAGTTTTTGAAACGATGTCTCTGCTACGTCGTCCCAAGTAAAGGCTTGTCCTTTCTTGGTAAATCGGTAGAGTCCGGTCGCTATGCCAGCGTATCCGTCGACGATCTTCCGATAGTAGTTCGCGAGTCTAAGGAATTGTTGTACTTCCTTAACGTTCTTAGGTGTAGGCTATTCCAAGATGCTTTTGACTTTATCTTCTTCTATGCCTAACCCGTCTAGGCTAATGCGATATCTAAGGAATCCTGTTTCCTGGACGTGGAACTCGCATTTCTTAAGCTTGAGAGTGACTTTAGCGTCTCTTAGCTTACTCAACACTAGCTTGTTGTGCTTGATGTGTTCGTCGAGTGTCTTAGAGAATACTAAGATGTCATCTAAATACGCGATAACGAATACGTCGAGGTACTCCTTAAGCACGCTGAAAATGAAGCGTTAGAATGTTGCTGGTGCGTTGGTGAGGCCAAATGGCATAACCATATACTCGTAGTGCCCGTACTTGGTTCTGAATGCTGTTTTCCACTCGTGGCCTGGCTTGATCCGAATGCGATGATACGCGTTGGTAAGATCGTATTTCGAAAAGTATTTTGCACCCTATAGTCGATCCTGAATCTCTTATATCAAAGGTAATGGGTGTCTATCCTTGATGGTGATCGAATTTAAATGTCGATAGTCCACACAAAGCCTAAGGCTGCCATCCTTCTTTGGTATAAAGATGATCGGATATCCGGCCGATGACTTCGAGGCTCGGATATAACCTTTCTGTAGGTTCTCGTCGATGTAGTCCTTAAGTATCTATGATTCCTTCGGAGATAACTGGTAGATAGGTTTGAAAGTTGGTTCAGTGCCTTCTTTGGTGTTGATCTCGTGATCGAAGGGTCTATGCTTCGGTAGTACTCCGTCGGCTGGTGCCGTGAAAACATCCGTAAACTCACGATATTCGTCCGGAATTCGTGGTTCTTCGCTGGTCGTATATAGCTTTTCTTGTTTGACAATCATATAGTCCGCCAGTTCGTCGTCGGATATGTCTGGTGATTGTTCCATTGTGTCGGGCGCGATCGTCTTGATCCGCCTCTAAGTCCCACCTCTGGACTGGGTGTTTCTGTCGGTGTCTAATGCGACAGCCCCCTTGCGACGTTTCTCGAATTCTTCGTATTCTTTCTTGCACGTATACCGATTAAAGGTGATTCGTCCCGTCTGCTAATTAATGCTCGGGTTGTGCTTTCTAAGCTATGGAATGCCTAAAACAACGTCGTAATCCCCGAGTTCCAGTACGCTGAACTGTATCAACTCCGGGTGCCCGTAGATCGATATAGGCAATGGGATAGTCTTGTTCTAGACTCCTCCGGAAATTACTTTCCCGTCGAGTCCGGAAATTGGTACCGTGTATGGTAATGGGATTGTTTGGATTCGTGGATCTTCTCCGAGCCGTGGGCTTATGAAATTGCTAGTGGCACCCGAATCGATAAGGGTCTAGGCTTTTCCTGTAGGTAAGATCACGAATAGTTTGATGTGCGTCCCTAACGTTGGCGCTGTTACCGCTAGATGTATTGTGGGTCGATTCTCCGAATCGTATATCTGTTGCCCGTTATACCAAATTCCTTGATAGCTCTTCTTCTATTTTGGCTTCTTTATCTACCGTAGTGGTCTGGGTTCGATGCCGTAATTCAACTTGCCGGTTGCGTGTGTGGTGCATGTTTCGTCGTAGCATGCTATAGTGGCTATTACGCCGTGTCCGGGGTGTCTTGTATACCCTGTGCAAGCGCAAGTGGAATTATCATATAGGCATCCTACTGGGTCGTCGCCTTCCTCGATCGCTGCGATAAGGTGCTGGTCTAGGCTATTGGTCCGAATCTCCTCTATGAGATTGGCCACAAGCTCACTGGCTTCTTTATCATTTTCCGTATGATGGTAGTTTCTAGGACTCTCTTAAGGTGTTTCTGGAATCTCGTGTTCCGTTTCTAGGATCTCATTTTTTGTCCCTAGGAACGTGTATGGAGTTCCCGGATGATCGGTGGTTCCGGGGAACATAGTTAGTGTTCCCGGGTGCCCCGCATCCCGCTCCTGAGGATTAGTGGACTGTTCCCTGGAACAGTTTAGTTCCTAGGGGACATATTATGTCTATCCCTGACTCTTAACGGTTTCCTAATCGATTTCTGGATAATCGATATGTTCGTGGCGGATTTCTTCCGCGTGGGGGTGCGCCTAATCCTAGTTTTCCCAACTGTCGCTCCTAGCGATGGTGCCTGTTCTGGTGGCCTCTCTTCCCTAATCCTCCACCTATTCACCGGTCGCACGTAGTTCTTCACGTGTCGCTCGTATATGCTGTTTCTTGAATGGTGGTTTCTTCTGCTTGCATTCTCGTGATCGGTGTCCTAGTTTCCCGCACGAGAAGCAGAGGTTCTTCTTACGACGCTCGTCTTGCTCTTCTTGAGTGGCGTCGAGCTCTATAGGTCGCGGCCTATAAGGATCTTCGTACCTTACCGGCCTAGGAGGTTGCTATCTTGGTCGCCGATCGTTCTAGCGATACTACCCGAATGGTCGCTGTCCTTGCGATCTCTATTAGCGTGTTTCTTATCGTTGGGCCTGTCGGTCTATGAGTCGGTTACCGATTCGTACCGTAGCGCTGAACATGCTGGCGATAGATTCTGGTCGGTCGATCCGAACTAATTCGTCCTTAACATCATCTCTAAGTCCGTCCTTAAAGATGGCAATATACGTATCTTCGTCCTAGTCTAGGTGTGAAATAACCTACTGGAACTCGGCGGCGTAGCGGCCCACGTCGGGGGTGTTTTGTCGTAGTCGCCGAAGCTTTCTTTTAGCTATTCGCTTAGCGTCGATATCCCCGAATGTCTCTAAAAGTCGTTTTTTGAAGCTACTATAGTTGGCGAAGACTTCCGTAGTGATGTCTCCCCAGTCGGTTCGATCCTTTTCCTGGTATTCGCGGAGAAATGGTTCAAACCAGTCAAAGGCTGGTCCGCGGAGGAAGGTCGAAGCGTAAATGACCTTATTAGCTTCCGTCGGAAGCTTAGGTTGATTGATTCGCAGGTTAGTGTCAAGCTAAGTGAGGAATCCGCGAAGCTTAGATCGGGTTCTATCAAAGAACTCAGGTTAAGGGATCTTGACCGAGGACATTGCTCGTCCTTCTAAGACCAAGATCTGTTCCTAAAGCTGTTGAATCATCTCGACCATAGCTTAGGGTGTCAAGTTAACGTTACTTGCTGCACCCGAAGTGTTGCGGCTCGAGACATTACTTCCGGAATCGTTTCCTACCATGTCGATAGTGTAGACTCGAAACTTGATTCGAGACGGTCTTTAATGTGTTACGCACAGCTAACTGGTCATAGTTATGTTAGATAGAATCGGGAGATACTTCTCTGATTTCCTGCAGACTTCTAACCTCAACGATCTGTCTCTTAACCGTTCCGTTGCCTAGTAGGCCTTACTGCGGAATGAGTCCTGTCGAGGGTATCGAGGAACGATGCCAGGTAGTGCGCCGAATAGATCTATACCGAAGTATTGGTCTAGTCGTAGTGGTTATCAAGTTATAATCAAGTAAAGAGTCTCTAAAGTTCCAAAGGTATTCACAAGTAACAATGTATGATTAAAGACGAAGAACTAAACTAGATATATGAAATGAGCGTCCTTATATATCCCTGAGTTCTTCCTATGTAGATGTGTAGATGGTAGATATATAGATTTGTCTTGGCGGAATCTACCTATCGACCATCGACCTGTTCTACTACTTGCATGATCACGTGAGGCTAACCGTCTTATAGTGTATTACGGTATTATCGGAGATAGTGAGTAGAAGGCCGGAAACGGCCTTCTCGCGGTAAGCCTTATTTGTGTGCGAGTATAGTTCGTAATTACCAACAGGGGGCCAGAAACGGCTCCTAAGTCGAAGTGTTTCCCTAACTCGTACTAGGGGTGCCCTAGTATAGGATCTTACACGTGATCTGCATAACAGATTAATCGATTGGCTCCTGGTGGCCCATCTATAGGTCGCAGTCCCCACATGTGATTGGTGACTGGTATGTCCGTAACAATAGTCTCTTTAATCGACCGTTGTATAGACTTGCTTTTACCACCCTTTTAGTATCTACCTAAGGTCATATGCCGCTTTAGTGTGTTAGTGCCGCTTTACTTCGCGCTTAGATGAGGTAGTGTGGCCCCACAAGTCCGACATATAACCAAAGGTTCGCCTATAATATAATATACTACCTGGTCGAAGTTCTCCTAGACATCCGATATGTGTTTTGTATCCTATCGTAGCCTTTGTTATGTCTTAGTATCGCTGCCGCGTACTGTTATGCGCTACCACTTAATAAACTTTGCTTTAGACGTGTTGTTTATCGCGTCGTAGAGGATAAACTACTTTCTCCGATCGGGGCCGATACGTTTAAGGGAGCAATTAAGAAGGGCCGGTTAAGTGAACTCAGACTCTATCACTGATATAGAAGTCTGTTAGCTGTTAAACAGACTAGGATCAATATTTAGATCAAGGTTGGGATCAAATATATCGTCGACGTAGGAGAGGTCTGGTTGGGAGCTCGGAGGAAGCGAAGAGGGCCCTACGGTATAGGCACTAGGTTAGGATATAGTGAATATAATATAAGGGACAGTGTAAAGACTAAGGGAGAGTGTATGATATTAACTTACATTAGGCAACTTGCGAGTCGCAAGTTGCGACTAGACCTGGGCATGGCCCATGGGCCGGCCCAAATGGGTCGGCCCATTCTGGCCCATGGGCCGGAAAATCGGATTTCTGCCTATACATAGGCCGGCCCATTTGGCCCATTTGGCCCATTCTAGGGCAAAAACTAGCGTGCATATAACTATCATAATTTATGTACTTTAAACGAGGTCTTGGCTGTATCGCCTTCGTCACAGGAACTATGAGGGCCGCCCTCGGAAATCAGATCAAAGTAAAGGATATATATTTAAATAGAGTATATTAAGATTAATATATGATTTGACTAGGCTTCATATCCATCTAATAGTCTTGAACGCTTTCGAATTCTTCCTAAAGCGCGCTAAGTATTTTGCTCAGGTAATCTAGGCTCATCATCATGCTCTTCCTCGGGCTCATTATTAGATAAAACACCCCTTTGCCTCTTAGAATTCTGTTACGAAGGCCCTTCTTTATTATCACTGATCTCTAACATCTCATCCTACGTACGCTCATTGACCTCTTCCTTCTGGAGTTCTATCTCATCCTCAGTGGCGTATTCCCGAACGAAAGCAAGCTGCTCCTCTTCTAGATCAAATCGGATCCCATATATCAGAAGCATAAGATCTTAGATTGTGCTTGATTGTAATAAGCCTCGGCGATAATAGCAGATATCACGTGCCGAGTTAAACAAACGTTCAACGCCTGTACCTATGGCTGGGACGGAAAGGATATCTCGAGCGATACTTGCGAGCACTGGGAACGTATGTTGATGATCTCTCCAAAATTCTCGAGGAGGCATTGCCACTATGCCTATTTAGAAAAGTGATTAGAGATAATAATTAGAAAATAAGGGATGTATTACGAGAAACTTGGAATAAACCACTTACCACCCTTTAGATACTGAGTGAGCTTAGAAACTGGTGTAGGAGGCTTACCAGCGAGTAGTAGATCAAGCTCATTCGTAGGCTTCGCGTATTAGAGACCTTCAGCTTGTGAAATAGATCTATAGAGCTTCTCCTGATACTCTTTTATCCGATCCTCGAGGCTTTTCTTGTATTGAGCGGCATAGTCCTTTTCTTCATCTTGCTAATCAGGGCCTTGAAAGAACTCAAGCTTATACTACGGTGCTAAAAGAGTCCTAATTGCATATATATCGCCGAGACCTTGGAAGTCAGTTATCGTATAATACTCTCTAAGCTTGCTTTTAGCTGATCTTAGAGCCTTAAGGATCTGTTATTTCCACCTAATCCTCTTCTTTTCAAGCTGCTGAATTCGGCTCTCAAGATGTTTAAAGAGATGATTATATATACTAAAAACAGTATGAATCGTCATATCCTTAGTTTTTGAGAGGGCCGTAGTGAATTTGTAGAAAGGTTGAGTGATATAGATTAAATAATCAACCTGCCGCCACTCATCCGAAGTGATTCGAAGATGAGAGTGATGAAATTCAGAGCAAAAGGTGTTAAAGAAAGGTTGTAGCTTCTTAGCTCGGCGGAGCATTAAGAACGTTGAATTCTAGCGTGTCCGAACGTCCTGGATTGGTACTAAGCGAGGCGCTTTTGTCTGAAGGTTTTGGAAGGACTCGCGACGTTAAGGACTTACATTAATAAAGATAGCAAGGTTTCGAATCTAGATTAGAGATCATTAGTAGAGGTTAGATAAATAGGGCGAATAGGAATTGAATCAAACCTTCTTTAACGTATTTGCCATGCTATATTCCCTCATAGTTTGGCGAGCTATTCTTATATGTTCTTCAGACCAAACAGTTTCGATGTTCTCATTTATAGGATTTGCTTTCATCTAACTAAGGAGCTGCTTAAGGCTAAGCTGAATCACATAAGCGAGGTATAGGATTCGGATAATCATAGCATCAGAGCCTAGACCGAGAGAAATAATAGAATCCTAGAGGGTTGAGATAAGAGTCGAATTATTAGACGTATTATCGGTCGTAACCGCTAATACTCGCTCTTTAATCCCATACTTCTCGAGTAACTCTAGTATCACTATGCTTAGATAGGCCCCGGTATGCACACTAGAGAGAGGTTCAAAGCAAAGTAAAACCTCTCGATACTCCCACTCAGTGTTAATGAAATATCTAGAAACTGCCATAAAGGCCTGTTGAAAGGGGGAAGTCTAGCAATCTAGGCTTAATAAGAGTTTTGCCTTTAGTGGAAGCTTCCGAAGTATCTCTTTCTACTGATCTTAAGCTTTTGACTGAATTCGGCGTTGTAGGGTTCTTCGAGATGGAAGACTTAGGATTGAAGGTGCTCGCTAAGCCAGCTATATAAGCTTTAGGAATTCAGGATGCTCGATAGTCGTAAAAGGAAGTCGTAGGGTCGTGATTGTAGTGACTATTTAGTGTTCCCAACGAGCCTTATTAAAAGGTTCTGGAGCGGTATTTGCCTAAAAAGAGTTAGCTTCTTTCTAAGAACTAGTTATCTAATATCTAACCTAATGCTATAGTAGGCGTTGAAGATTTGATCCTTTCCCCTTTTTCTTACAGGTTGCTCGTGTAAGATGCCGCCGAAGAGCAGTTGTTCCTTGTTTCCTAGATGTGGGATGAAGGATAGAGTTCGGATGATTCAAAATCGCCCTATAGTGCTTGCATATCACCTTTGGTTGCCTAGAAATATAATACGCAACCTGATCGAAGTCGGCCTAGATATCTGCACGGTATCCCTTTCGATCCTATATCTTTTGTATATCCTAAGGCTACTCGCTTTGTGTTTGTATCCACTAGTTCACAAACTCTTCTTTATTCATATCTTCGAAGATAACGTAGGTCTTCGTCGGATCTTTTGTGCGTTTTAGGGAGAGTGGCACGGAAAGAGGTAGAAGAGGCTGAGTTATTTGACTTGCCGAGTGCTCGGGCGCGAGACTATCGGATAAAAGGTAAGATGAATTATTGAACTCTCTACTCTCTATAAGGGATACTAGATAGACATCAGATAATTGAGACATAGGTAGTAAAGTTAAGTGATTTAACGTGAGAGAAAGATGAGATATATCTAACAGCAAAGACTTCGACTCTAAAGTATTTTATTGATTTTCGGCTTAGAATTGCAAATATGATCTATCTTAAAGGGAATAGATAAGAGAACATTATTAGCTCTTATTGGCTAGACAAATGGGTCGGCCTATAGGCCGACCCATTTGCCTTTAAAATTCGTGAATTGGCATCCCCCCCGCTTTATTCATCTAAACGATAACTTTTTTCTCACACTAGAGCGACTATGTTAGGACGAATTAATCCCTCTTTATACTTAAAACTTCGGATATCCGAGCTTTCCATTAGATTATACTGTTCTCTATTTTTTACTATTAGCAAATAGATAGAAAAATTATGAAAAGTCAGGATATTAAAGGAATTCTAGAAAATCAGCAAAATGTACAGAAACCCTACCGCATAAATATATATTTCTATGTGGGAAGAGATTGAGCAACCCGTAATATATCTTGTAATTTGTTATAGTTAAGCCGCAAAAATCGAAACGGAGATATATTACGCTAGTAACTTTGGATATCTTGCATATTAATTGTACAAATTTAGGGGCCAAATAGGCCAAATGGGCTAGACTATAGGCCGGACTATAAGAAAATGGGCCGCCCCATGCCCAGGTCTAGTTACGACTATATGAAAAGGGGGTTACTAGTAAAAGGGGTGCTTATATAGATCTGATATATCATAAATCAAGTGTTAACCCACTATCCTTTATAAGCTGATTGGCTATAAGGGTCTTTTGTCTATAGGCATGCCCGTGGGCACGCCCACGGGAATATGCCTAAACGCCTATCTCGAGTTACAATCGAAGGATTAAAAACTCCTAGAATAATAACTTAAGTTTTTTAGTGATAGAATAGACGGAATTTAGTGATATAAGCTCGTAGAATAAGAATTGTACTAATGCTCTTTCGATCTACCTATAAGAAATATACCTAAACGAGAGATGAAGCAGAATATATGAGTAGTATTTTACTTGTAGAAAATAGCAGGTATGTACCACTGACTTAAATATATATCTTCAAACTGTTACAGCATGATTTGATAAGTTAATAAAAATACCACACAACATGGTGTATTTCGATAAGGAACTTATTCCACGTCGTATCATATATAGGCTTCCGTAGATACTGGTTCCGGGATGGACTTTAGGAACCGGACCCGGACCAGGCTCTGGTCCAGGATGAAGTGCTAGGAACCAGACCTAGACCGGAACCAGTGACTGGGAACCCAGATTTCCCAGTTTTGTCCCAGTTTTGTCCCAATTTTGCATAAAATACTGCTGTACTATAGTCTTGGTATGCATAAAATAGAAATTATATACTATTATTTACTCTTGTTTTAGTTTCGCTTTTGAGTTCAATTTAGATTCTACTTAATTAGATATGAAATTTTATAAAATCATAATGAAATAAGGCTTAGGACGTTTGATTATTAGTATTTTACCCTAAAAACCTTGGTTTAGATGTTAGAATAGTGGTGGTGGTTGATGTTTGATCATCTCATAAATGGGAGATGTAGAAATATATAATTATGGCCATGTAGATAGCCTATATATTTTTGAAACTACTAGGTACTACTAGTAGACTTTCGATTTGTGACCGTATAGATTTTTGGACGGTTCTACCTAGTAGAAAACAGGGGGGAATGGGAAATATCTGGGATATTTGGGAAATCCGGGATTTCTACTAGGATATTTGGGATTTCTGGGATTTCCTAGTAGAAATCCCAGTAGATGTGGGGCTTATCCTATATGCTAAACCAATCAGTAACAAGCTAAGCATATTACATTTGATCTATCCGTTTGTCTATCGAAGTCCTATTTTCCTATTACTCCTATATGCCTATCTGTAAGTATTATTCTACACTACTTCTTACTACTTACTGTCTATCACTCCTTTTTCACTATGTGCTAGAGCTAGGGCTAGAGCTAGTTCTCTGACTTTATATCATCGATCTACGATACAGATACAGATAACCTTACTTATTTAGTATTATCAAATCCTCTTATAACACCCTCTAGTAGTCATACTATAGCCGATATCTTTGATCCTGACTTTATCCGACCGAGTTTACTAATCCTAGTCCCTCCCTCTCTTATACGTGTCGGACCGAATCGGCGAAAGGATTTTGTTCTCTACGAGAATATGGTATATAACGAATAGGTAGAATGGTGGTTACAGACCAATTATAGAAGGAAGAGCAAGATCAATTAGGATTTAACTTATCATACTCTAATTTGGGAGAAGTTTGACCAGGTTATATCTATTTAAGATGGCACACCAAAAATCATATGTCGGCGTTGTACAAAGATCCTCGAACATCCATATTCACTACGCATAAACACAGAGGGCCGATCGCAATATTATGGTATATCAGGGATGAGCAAGTATCGTAATAGCTAGACCTGGCTACGACCCTCCGCATGGGTCCCTACCCCGGACCCTCGAACCTCCCCCTCTTGAGGGGAGGTTCTAACCTTCCGACCCTTAGCCTACCCTGAGGGTCGTTAAGGTTCACTATGCGGACCCTCGGCGACCCTCAACGACCCGCATTTGTATAAATTTTCGACGCCTTACCTCTTTCGGTTGGATAAAATTGATGATTAATCTCTGTTTTTTACAGCTGTTCCGTTAATTTATAGATATTTCACTAAATACTCTGTTAATATGGTTAATTATAAAGAAATATTCATGTAAAAGTAAACCGTAGGCATGGTCACTTATAAATTACAAGTAATATTCGATGATATCGAAATGCTACGTGGTCAGTGGCAGTTATTAACAAAAATGCATGTAAAGTTGTAGATATATATATTACAGACAGTGTAACCTACGTGTATCTTTATCTGTAGAACCACTGATTTTTTGGAAAATTATAAAAGAGTAGTTTTAATTACCTTATTTTTATATCATTTAAACTATTATATCTTCTTCTATCACCTTTTTCTTCAAGATTTTAGTACAAATGATCTAGGTATGTCATAAATCCGGTTTAAAGATTGCAATTATCAGACTTGGTCGTTCTAATCAAGGCCATTTTCTCAACTTAAGGGTCTCTTCGAGGGTCGACGCGGGTAGTGAGGGTCCCCTTAAGGGTCGCTACGGGTAAGCGAGGGTCTATTTAAGGTTCGTTAAGGTTCATTTATTAAGTTATCCACTACGTTAGCTAATCAGATCTTGTTATATAGATACAAAAGATAATAGATTAATTCTAGCATGTAGAACAGGGACTAACGGATGCCCTAAGAATATCGCGCATCTTTTTCTATAAATTAAACAGTAAGTTCCTTATTATCTTCCTCCTTAGTTATAGTACTGTCTTCTAGTTACTAAATCTATCATGTCTTAGCTCTCCGACGTCTACGTATTATCTAGCTTCGACGGGGTGTAATTAGACGCGCTATAATACCTTGTTCCTAACGATTCCCTTTCCTAACGCGAACGCTAGAGTCAACTATCCGAAAGTCAGTTTAGATCAGTTCTAGACCTTCTAGACCTTCTAACCTATCGATCGCGCGTGGCACCTTAGGCCCTAGACACTCTTACGCGAATCAAACTAGACCGTATCAACGAGTACGTCGTCTTTATAACTATAATAACCGTAGAATTTATTTAGTGGTAGCTTAAAACCGACTTTGGTAAGAAGAAGCGGATCAACTAGGATGTGAACCGTCGTGTAGAGTGCTGGAAAGGGTTTTAACAAGTTGCAAATGCCAAAGATAGGAAGCCAGGCGTTATATGTAAACGGTGCCGTATAATTCTTAAGCATCTAACTACTAACCATACTAGAACCTTATCGATGCAGAAACATCTCGATAGGCTAAGGTGCCGACAGCGAATACCGAAGAAGGGTAATATCCAGCAACTACTTAGTAACGCGGTATATTTAAACCAGCCTATATTCAATATCAATACTAATACTATTTTCACTATTTAGGCCGAGAGAAGACTAGCGCCTACCTTTACCTAGAAAATATGGGAGCAGAAGATCCTAAACCTGATTACTATATCGCATTTACCCTTCCTATTCGTCGAATATCAAGAATTCTATGACCTCCTTTCCTACGCACGGCTAGTACCTACACCACCAAGTGTTCCATCAAGAAAGGTGATTCGCGAGCGCCTTCGGGATTTTGTTATAGAACATTAATAGGAGACACTACAACGGCTTCCATCTAGTGCAAGAATGTCGATTACGCTTGACTGTTAGACTTCTCTATTCTAGCAAGCATTCATGGCTATCACAGGATACTTCCTAGACCAGGAATGGGAGTATCGCGAGGTTCTCCTTAGGTTTGAGCTAATATCTAGATCTTATACCGGAGTGAACCTCGGTAGGGTTGTTCTCTAGATCCTAGAGAAGCACTAGATCGCTGACCGTATACTAGCGGTAACAACTGATAATACGTCTAATAATAAGACACTTATCGTAGCGGTGAATGATTCGGCTAAGACGCTATAGTAAGAGACAGATTCTACGATTGTCCAAGTGCCCTGCCTTGTATATGTGATTCAATTAAGTCTAATTAATTTACTTAGTAAAATTAAGGCCTCCCCGAAGAATGATAACGCCGAGACGGAATGGTCTAAAGACCGTGTACGTTCACTTCGTGCGCGCTAGCAGAAACATGAGATCGCCGATACTCTAAATAAGGTAAGCTTAAAGCTTCTATTTATGAATCATGATCTAATAACGCTAATAATCCTTATAGGTTCGCGGTCTAGTAGTTTATATCAACGGAAGCCCTCAACGCAAAGAAGCCTTCTTAAATCTTTAATCTAATAACGCTGGGATAAGGCTTCTCCTAATCTAGGATGTCCGTACACGATGGAATTCGACATTTCTGATGCTCCGGCGGGCGAAAAGACTTTATAACATATTCGACAAGTACTGCAAAGACTATACCTAAACCTATTTTGTATTAAGTATCGAGGGGTGGCGATAGATTGACTATCTACTTTATATTCTCTAGCCCTTTTTTACGCTTACTACGCTAGTTTGTCGTACTAAAGACTCGAGTATCCACCTTGTCTTTAGGATTTATAATAAGCTTTTTGATTATCTTGAAAGATCAATACGTTAGCTTCGTCGAAAGAAAGTTCACTAGAAATAGCTGATGCTTTCCTCCCTTAAGGCTGCGAAGGAGAAACTGAAGAAATACTACGGCGAGACAGATGATATCGAAGGTAATCTCTATACAATTAGGACGATCCTAGCGCCGTCGAGTAAGATAGAGTTCTTTTTAACAAGTGATTAGGACCTAGATCCTGAGATAGGAAAGGACTATAGAAAGGAATACCGCGAGAGTCTTCAGTCTCTTTTCGAGAGATATAGCCAACGTGAACCATTAGATATGATATAGCCTACTAGCCAGTTATTAATAACTGAATCGGAGCTAGAGAGGGCCCTTAATAGCGATTCTTTACCGCGATTAATTACTCCGTAGTACGACGAGCTTACCAAATATCTCTAGAGTGGTAAGTAAGTAAGCCTATTTTATAAGTCATATAACTAACCTTACCTGATTAGATACTATTAAAGGATCCGTTCGGATCTTTTGGAAAGATCATCAGAGAGAATTCCCTGTTCTTACAAGCATTGCCCGTGATATTATGTCAATTCCAGCAACTGGTGCCGGAGTTGAGCGTCTATTTAACTCTGCTCGGGATATATGCCACTACCGCCGGGGGTCGTTGAACCTAGAGAGTATTCGTGATATTATGTTATACATGTGTACAACAAGATTTGATATTAAGGAGGAGCAGCGGCTGATTCTCTAGGAGTATCTCTCAGACCATGAGATAGCAGCTTCGGCAGAAGCACTTGATATCCAGACATATACCTTCGAGGCTATTAGTGATAACGAGGAGGAGGATGTTGAGTTGCGTCCTAATACACCGGCTGCTATATCAATTATACAAACAACCCCAAACGCACCGCCACTCTTAGTAGTCGCCGCTAGAAAGCGGCCTACGGTCACTTCTAGTGATAAGGAAGATTCTAATGCCGATAGATTTGTGAACCCGGAGGAGAACCTATCATTATCCTTCCCTGATACGTAGCATCGTGTATCAGGTAGGATACGGAAGAAGTCGAGACTACTAGATGGGTATATAGTTTGACTCTTGGCTTGTTAGAACCATGACTAGACACTATGCCATAGATGTAATATAAACCATTTAAAATTTGAACCCCTATTCGAGAATGAACCTATGGTATGTATAAAGGAGTGTATATGTAGTATCCTTCTATAAGGCCATATAGTGATGAATTTTTACTTTACAATTACAATGAAATACAGCCTGTTTCTACATAATTTATGCAATTGACGTCTAGTCACGTCTTTTACCTGTTTGTCATGTTTGACGACCCTCAGGGTCCCCGCGGGTAACCCTCATAAGGGTCGGCCTCGGTACGACCCTCCCCGCGGGTCCAGGTCTCGGACCCTGACCCTCCGCATGGGGAGGTGAGGGTCAGGGTCATGGAGGGTACCCGCGGGTCCTAGCCAGGTCTAGTAATAGCTATGCCTGTATTAAATGTGAGGGTGGACAGAAGACAGAGATTACACAGTTTCTAAAGACAGCGATAGCGGTAAGTGATCTTATTTCTCCTAGAAGAGTATTCTATTAATCAAAAGACTCCCCCTTCTAGAGCGAGCGATCAAGTACATCTTTCTCCCAGCTAGGCTAGGAAGAAGATATTCTATAGTTCATCACCCTAAATCGACTTCCTTTCTATCTAATTAAGCACCCAACATTCAAACGTCTTATTTACAGCGCTCGCTCGGCTCCTAGCCCTCTAGTGATTCCTTTAGCTGATACTATCCGCCGAAGATTAGAGAGTATCGTTCTTGATCGGCAAAAACAAATCCTTCGAATGCTTCCTACCAGGGCAAAAATCTTAATTACACTAGATTGCTGGACATCCCCATTCTCCCAGGCATTTATAGCTATAACTGGCTATTTCATTGATGCTGATTAGGTATATAGAGAGGTACTTCTTGGTTTCAAACCTCTTTCAGGTTCCTATACTAGTAACAATTTAAGTGAAGTTCTTATAAAGACACTCACAGATCATGGGATTAAAGATCGAATCTTCGGATTAACGACCGATAATATATCAAATAACCGGACGCTAGTTAAATCGCTTTAGCAGGCCTTACCTAATAATATTACTATCATCCGAACTCCCTACCTAGCCCATATTATTCAGCTTAGTCTGAATCAGCTTCTTTCCCGTCTTAAAGTGGTACCTGAAAATGATACTACGGAAACAAAATGGACCGACCGACAATTATCAGTAGCCAAAGCGAATTCTCGCCAGATCTATGAAATTGCTGCTACTTTAAATAAGATCCGCTATCTTGTAATCTATATTCACGTAAGCCCGTAGCGTCTCGAGACCTTCTATAAGCTCTAGACAGGCCCAAAGCTGATACCTATTCAAGATATAAGGACTCGATAGAATTCAACCTATCTCATGTTTCGTCGTACAAAAAGACTCCGAGACTTCTTTGCTCCCTTCTATGCAGAGTACAATTGCCTAGAGATGCTGTTAGATGATGAAGAATAGCGTTAGATTAACTATCTTCTTTACATTACTAAGCCCTTCTTTTATTATACAACTACACTCGTAAAGACTCGGGATATAATAACATATCTTATATTCAAAATCTACAATGCTCTTTTTAAACATCTCGAGGTATCTATAAAACAGCTTTAGCGTAAGCGTATTCTATAGAAGAAACAGATACTTGAGTCTCTTAAAGTAGGCCGACTAAAGCTTAATAAGTACTACTCCTAGACGGATAGTGTCAAAGGACATGTCTATGCGATTAGTACTATGCTATCCCCTAATAATCGGTTTTAGTTCTTTCTATCTAATGATTAGGATAAAAAATGGCGTGATATCTACCGACGATCATTCTAAGAAGCTTTGATTCCTTACTAGGAACGTCTCACAGAAAAAGATGGCTTATTAAATACAAATCTTTCACAGAAGCCAAGGTCTATGTTTGATCGACTGAATAAGTCAATCAGTGGTAATCAACCATAGGCCACGTCGGGCATTAGAGAGATAAGCCAGTATCTTGATAGTGGTATGTCTAATCTTTTATATTTGATTATTATATACTTATTCTCTATTCTATTAGATATTACCGCTGTTAAGCCCCTTCTATTTTGGAGAGAGCATTAAGGTCGCTTTCCGGCAATTGCATCCCTTACTCGGGATGTTCTCTCTATCCTAGTAACTGGTGCTAGTGTGGAACGACTTTTTAATACTGCTCGTGATATCTATTACTATCGCCGAGGTCGCATGAAGTCAAGAACGATTAAGGAGCTTATGATGTTTCTCTATACATCGAAGTTTGACCTTGAAGTGGAGGAAGCAAAGCAGCTTAAGAAGCTTTACTCACATAAGGAAATTGAGGCATTAAAGGAAGAGAGAGAAGAGAAGCCTGATGACATTAATATATTATTAATTAATGATATAGAGGAGGGTGATAAGGACGAGCCTATAGACTTGATAGATATTCAAGATAAGACCGTTAAGAAGGGGCTAGGCACTACTGACCTAGACCTTCTAGAGTGTAGTACACAGGTCCGAACGTCAGGGAGAAAACGGAAGACAAGAGAAGATAAGAACTATAAGCATTACTAGAAATTCATTTATTTGTTAATTATTTTTAAATAATTCTACTTGAAATCTAGTAGAATTGTAAGCTAAGATGTAAGGGAATTTCAGCAAAAAAACGTAAAAAGACGTATAACTTATGCAGTTACGAGATCTAGTGCTATGACATTATAAAAATCCCAAATTTCCCAGTCTGGGAACCCAGGCTGGGAAATTGGGATCAATTTTATATCCCGGAACCAGCGCTGGGATTAAGGGATAGTCCTATTTCCCGGACCAGTCTGGGTCTGGTCCGGGTCCGGTCCGGGATTTTCTGGTTCCTGCGGAAGCCTAATTATATATATTATAGTTTTTCATATACTCAGATATTTCAATAAAATTTATGGATGTTGTAGATTAAAACCGCGATCTTATATAGAGTTGGCAAAACAGCTGTAAATAATAGTTATTTAATGTGTCAAGTCAGCGAGTTATACGTCCATTTTGGGTGACTTTATGTAATGGTGGGCATAGTGGGCATGCCCGCGATAGGCATGCCCGTGGGCGGTGGGCGTTGTGGACGGGCACTCGAAAATCCAAATAGCCCACCGCCCACCGTGGACGGGCGATGGGCACCTCCTAGGTGCCTATAGACGGGCGATGTCGCAGTCTATATGCAACTAGAGAGCCTTTTATATTTGTCATGTTTGTCGGCCCTTAAAATATTCTAAGGGCCGCCCTCTAAGGGCAGGGTAGAGACCTTCCGGCCCGCGGGTAGGGAGAGCCCGCCCTCCGCCCGCAAAAGTGCGGGTCTGTGGGCGGCCCTTAGAGGGCGGCCCGCGGGCGGTTCCGAGGTCTACTAGCAGCCGACTAGTTCCTTAGCCGTCATATGATCCGCGTAGCCCTGCCCCTCTTTAACTCTTTCTTCCTACCCTGAACCTGGAACAACAACACCCCTTTCACATCTTCTAGCTGAGCGACCATAATGTACTCAGAATATACCACCATCTACACTAGAACCCCCCGGTCTTTCCTCTTCGCTATTATTGCGAATGTCGGCCCCGACGGGACCACCCGCCCCCTGGCCGTGGCCTACCGCCAACACCACGACGAATACAACACCTATACGTTATACCCACGAGTGCGCCATATGGTAGCTGATACCCTCGCACTAATCGACAACCTCTCTGATCCCGCAAACCGCGCACAACTAGAAGCCGAGACGGGGCTCGCAAACGACTGGTATCGTCAGTCGTTAGGGGACGAGCTTCCCACACATGAACGGCCTAGCGTGCCGGACACCGAGCAGCCCCCCTATATGCCCATAGTCGACTCCACGGGGCTAGTGAAACAGCAGCCCCCGCTCCCCTGGCGGGAGGACGGAATCCGCTAGTTCCTATTCACCGCCACCTACGTTCTACACGCGTTGTAGCGGGACGATGCCTCTCGCGAGAGCACCCGCCCCGGCGACATCTAGTTCTAGCCTCTATCGACAGTCTTCCGAGTAGACTGTCTCGAGTATGGCTTGGTTGTTCTCGACATCTCCGATCTTGATCGTGTGACGTACGGCATTGCCGCGTTTCCTACATGCTATATGGCTACGGTTCCGTGCGAAGACGAGAACATAGACTGGGATCCAGTCGAGGACGAGCAGCCGGACCAGGTGGATCTTGTCCTGGCTAGTCCGCGTCCTCGTGTGTTGTTGTCGATTGGGCAGTGGGTGCGGAAGTATTGTGAGTGGTTGTCGGTGGAGGAGGCGCCACGTATCCTCGAACTGGAGGAGAGGCCGGTGGCTACTGCGACAACGCTGGATTGTAAGTTGATCTCTATAGGGCTCCTCCCTAAAAGGACATCTGGATGGTGGGTGCTAACGGGTGAATAGCAGATATCTGGCCACCGGGGCTGGATGACCTCCCTCGATCCGTGGTGGAGATGGGAGCCTCCGGTACCTCTAGCGTGACTATGGCAGACGAGCCGCGGCACACTATCCCGATAGGAACGATAAGAACGACAGGAACGGGCGGGTGAAGATCAGCTTGAATAACAGGAACTGCAAATATTCACCCGCTCCCTCACTCCCTAGAGATAACAGAAGGACGGCCCGACTTTCTGCGGGCGACCGCACCAGAAACTGATCTTATAGTGTGGGAGAAGATCAGCTTAAATAACAGGAACTGCAAATATTCACCCGCTCCCTCACTCCCTAGAGATAACAGAAGGACGGCCCGACTTTCTGCGGGCGACCGCACCAGAAACTGATCTTACAGTGTAGGAGAAGATCAGCTTGAACAATAGGAACTGCAAATATTCACCCGCTCCCTCACTCCCTAGAGATAACAGAAGGACGGCCCGACTTTCTGCGGGCGACCGCACCAGAAACTGATCTTACAGTGTGGGAGAAGATCAGCTTAAACAATAGGAACTACAAATATTCACCCGCTCCCTCACTCCCTAGAGATAATAGAAGGACGGCCCGACTTCCTGCGGGCGACCGCACCAGAAACTGATCTTACAGTGTGGGAGAAGATCGCGTCAACGCCTACGAACTAGAACACTACCTCATTATAGGGTGGATGTTTGGTTGTATTATATTATATGGTTTGCGAAATAGATATGTCCCTTAAAGAACGATTGCATATTACTTTCATCTAACATTGACTTCCTAAACAACTCTATTTGCAACTACGACAATTGAGTACAGGATAGCACCTAGAATATACAATATCTCCACCCCCTTATCCAAGTAGGCGAGGGGATTAATAGAACGGAACCTCCACCTAACCTACCCGCCGTGATCGCAACCCGTGTAGGCGTATCTTGTATTGTAATTATCTTTCCTAGCCCTGTAGTTTGATGCTAAGTCTACAAAAAACTATGTACTTCCTCGGAGCAGAGCAGAGATATAAAGTATAGGGGGGTTCTAGTGTTTACAGGATAGGGCCTGTTAACTAGGTAAGAAGAAGATGGCTCCGGAACAGATGTATTATGTGAATAGTACAGAGACTGATTCTTAGGGAACTTCCAGGTTCCTAAGAATGGACTATTTATCATTGATAGGAGCGGGGTAGAGTGGGCGGTCAGAGTACGCTCTGTGATCGACAGTGACACGCTGGCGATAACCCGTCTCTATAACAGGACTCTAAAGATTCAGGATCCACTCCGTTACAATTATCTCCCCGTCCGCAATAGATGTCCACATCTATAGAACGTTTGTAAGTATCTTAAGCGTAGCCCATTAAAAACCCAAGGGGAAAAGGTAGCTAGCTAGTACCGCTTATAAAGGTTTTGCATAGTTACGGGGGGTCATGAATGACGCGCTGGAGAGACGCCAGCAAACTGAAAGTTGAATGTTTTTCCAGTTTGGGGGGAGAGGTGCCTGAGGTTGACGTAGTTTTGGGAAGCAAACAAAGAAAGATGGTGGTGCCTTAGGTTGGGAGTCATCCCAATTTGGCAATTTTGACTTCTTTGACGCGAATATCAAGTCCACACGTGTTGTTGTTTACCTCTTTTCTTTCTTCATCCTCTTCACAGCGACGTACCTGCACGTTGCTGTCCTTTCCCTAGTGTTTCTCCAACTTCCCTATCTTGTTTATCCAGGTAAGTTGTTTACTTCTCCGGATCTGTCGATCACTTGTTGACTCTCCGGTCTTCCACCGTCGTTTGTACAGCTTTTCCACGTTTGCTCGCTGTTGTGATGCCACCCCGAACTCCCTCCAAGCGCAAGGCTGCGCACCCTCCTCCGGAGGATTCCTCGTCCGAGGAGCCTGAGGTTTCTGAGAGTGAGTCTGAGGAGACTGACAATGATCCCGCTATCGGAACGCCATCAGGAAGCCATGCATCCACTGTTGCTGATACTCCGACTCGCAATGCAACTGCGGCTCGGAGTACTGCGGCTCTCCGCAACCTGCGTCGTGCCCAGCGGGTTCCCCGTCCCCTTCGTCCGGAACCATACTTGCGTCATTCGGGATGGTGCATGCACTGCTTCCGCACCTTTGTAGACAATTGGGATCCTAGTGGACCACCAGTGATTCCCTGTCTTGACGATGGAATGTCGTCTAAGAAATGCAAGCAATGCGCCAGTCGTGGTAAGAATTGCGAGCCTATGAGTTACGTTCCTCTGCAGGCGACATGATAGCAGCTGACCGGCGTTTCACTGTAGGTCAACGAGGGTATTCTTGGAGATGCCCTGCGTCTGCAATGCATTCTTGACTGGGTGAAGCCCTTCTGGGAGGGTGGAATTGAGGACTTCCACGAGTTGGAGGATGCGGCCAAGGAGAAGTTGGGTCCCGCGGTTCGGGATTTGGTCGTTGGCTTTAAGGTTTTGCTCGACGGTCACCGCAAGCAATTCAAGATTGCAACTGACAAGAAGGTCGAAAAGGTGAGCGTTCCTCTGGTGTTTTGCTGGTGCCTTTCTGACGTGTTCGCAGGATGTTGCCGCAATTTATGAAGCTGTTGTCAATAACCGTCGCCGGATGTTGGCTCCTGTTTCCATGACCGCTGGCATGACGGCGCTTCGCCGTCTTTCTGCCGAGGCTTCGACTTATCCTGGCGCGCGTCTCTCCGATGACGGTTACCATGCTTGGGCCTTTGCCATCCGTACCTTCCGCGCTCGCATCGTCGCCATTGTTGAGGATCAGGATTTGTTCGACGATCTTGATGATTCTGAGTTTGCCACACTCATGTTACGAGCCAAGTCTTAATGAAAAAGAGTGCATTCAACTAGAATACTAAACATAGGGAAAGAAAGAAAGAAGAAGAAAGAAATAACGCGCTGAAACAATTAAGGTAGTGATGCCTGAGGCCTCCAATCAAACAATGTAAAACACGAACTACGAAAGGCGGTGGAACACGGCAGAATCGGTTTAGGATCATTGATCCTGAATTCTTCGTGACAACCCCCTTACGAAATTGCATTCAGTCCCTAAATGCTTGCTGGTCTATAGAAACAGGCATATTATCGTCGGGATGATCATCAACCACTTACTTATTTGCTGATACAGTTTCCCATTCATACAGACGCTTTAGTGGTCCAGGTTTCGAAGGGTAGCGATCATGGAATTCTCTCAGTTTTACAGGTGCATGCTTAAAATTCCCGGCGGGATACTATTGTAGATCGATATTATGACCGAGCTAATCGACCCGGTATCGCAGCTTTCTGTAATGCAGTTTGGAGTCTATGATCTTATTGACTTCCTATTCGTCAGTTTCACCGATACGCAGTAGTAGTGGTGGATCGGTATGTTGACCACGTAAAGGCTCCGTTGTAGCTGCTCTTCGCAGTTTACTGGTATGAAACACGGGGTGTACCTTGATAGATAGGGGCAATTCTAATTTAAATAAGTGGCCCACTTTTTCCACAATCTTGTATGGTCCACTAGCCATGTGAGAAAGCTTCCTGCTCGGTCTGTCTTATAACCAATCCTTTATTGTCACGAAAACATAGTCATTTATATCGAAATCCACTTCTCGGCGGTGCTTATTTGCCTGCTAGATCTACATTTATTAAGACTTCATAGCTTGTTGTTTTACTTCTTGCCAAATATCGTGTAATCGAGTAAGTATATTCGATGCCTCGCGCTCGTTGGTTGTTAGTGTCGCTTGATCTCTCTAATCGAAAGACATGATAAGTTCGTAGCCACGTTTAATGAAAAAAGATGATTTCTTCGTTATGTCCTGCGGTAAGATTAATGCTACGAAGTCCACTATTAGTAGACACTCTGACCAATCATCCTGGTTATATTCAATATAGGGACGTAGTCTTTATGCCATATATTGATTAGCAATTTCACTCTGTCCATTAGTTTACGGGTGGTAAGCTGTTAATAACTTCCTCTAAATACCAAGAATTCGACAGAACTCGGTCCAAAATTCTGAAACGAACTGACCACCTCGGTCTGAAATAATTAAGGACGGAATACCGGAGATACGGATCATATTATCAATGAATAAACGTGCCATCTTCTTTGCATTAGTGTCTTTATAGCATAGGATAGATATCGGTCTTTTTGTAAGGCGGTCCATAATAACGAATACTATATCAAATCTATGTCGGTCCTTTAGGAATGATCGGAAATCCATTATAAGATACTCCTATAGTCTTTCTAGGATTTCTAAGGGGTGAAGAAGTCCAGGGGTTCGATCTCTCTAGGATTTTGTCCGTTTACATACTAGACAGTTGTCGATATACCTCTTTATATCGGTTACCTAGCTAGACTAGTGGTATCTTACTAAGACTAACTTCTTTAGCTTCTTAATACCGGGGTAAGCAACCAATAGTTATCGATATAGCTCGTCTAATAAGCGAGCTCGGAGGTCGTCCTAATCGGGCACTTCTAAATTACTATTATAAAGTAGAAGTTCATTACTGATAGTCCATACCGTACTACCCTTTCGGGCTATTTCCCGATATTCTTCTAGTTCCGAGCTAGTCTTATTAGCATGTTTGACACGATCTATAATTAAATCCGTAACTTGTAATAGGGCGACCTATATTGATATCGATAAGGATTCGAAATGTGTAACGGAGTGGATCCTGACTCCTCAGAGTCCTGTCATAGAGACGGGTTATCGCCAGCGTGTCACTGTCGATCACAGAGCGTACTCTGACCGCCACTCTACCCCGCTCCTATCAATGATAAATAGTCCATTCTTGGGAACCTGGAAGTTCCCCAAGAATCAGTCTCTGTACTATTCACATAATACATCTGTTCCGGAGCCATCTTCGTCTTACCTAGTTGACAGGCCCTATCCTGTAAACACTAGAACCCCCCTATACTTTACAAAATGACTTTCCGGGAGTAATACGAACTGTCGACCAGTATCTTAATAAGGTGTATCCTTCCGGGAAAGGACATCTACGACCACGTTTTTCTTACCCGGTCGGTATCTGATCACAAACCTGAATTAGGAAAGTAGCTCACTCTATCGGACTTGTCGTTAATTCATTTGTCGAGAAGTCATAAAGTATTCTAGTAACTAGTGATCCGTTAAAATTTCAAAACGCTCGGGTCGGGATAATCCTTCAAGTTTAGGTCTCTATTCCTATAAGGCACGGACAATTGCTAGCAATTCTTTGTCTCTGATTTCATAGTTCAGCTCTACTACTTATATCGTTTTCGAGAAGAAAGCCACTAGATGCTAGAAGTCATCGTCTTTATAGTACTATATAAGCACTACACCGACCACGTTATCCGAGGCGTCAGTTTTAACCCGGGTAAGTCGCGCCGGGTCATAGTGTCGTAACACTAGAGCTATAAGGAGTCGATGTTTTAACTGCTAAAAGGCTGTTTTATATTACTCAGTCTATAGAAAGGGGACATCATGCCGAGTCAGGTAGTAAAGGGGCTTAGTAAGCCTGCTATACCCTTAAATAAATCGTCTATAGAAGTTATAGAATCCTAAAAATAACTAAATGCCCTTTACCGTAGTTAGGACTTTCCATTCTTAAACTGTGAAGGGCTATAGCTGAATTGATTCAATTAGGGCTAGGCCAACATGCTGTTTACATTCATCTTAAGGAAAGGAACTATCTGACGCGGGGTTCTCCATAATAACCCCAGGTGTGGGTCACGTGGTAGCACGTGATATCCAATAGGCTCTGGCCCGTGACACACAAAGCATTGAAACTAGACCCAACGGCCGAGAAGATGATCCACCAACTAGCTACGCATCAGATGGCTGGCGAATGGGATACAGAGAGTCCGTTAGATTCACCTGATTTCACGTTTTTAACGCAAACAACGGACGATTCGTTTTACAACTTTGACAGTGGCCTAGATCAGGGCACACCTCCGTTATCGCACTTTATTCAGTTTAGCCAGGGCCACACACAGGGCCACCGTCAACGATCATTCCGGGAGTGGGTGACCGAGATGGTCAGCCAGTTTATGGTCCGCGGCACTAACAGTCCAATGCAGTGGCTGTTAGATCTACGCACCTACGGCTTGAAGATCCATTATAACAGCACCGCCACAGGCCATGTTGGCTGGATGAACTAAGACCAGCTGTTATATCAACAGTACAGTTTCACTATAGGTGACTTCCGCGGCTTTACCCACGGCCTCGTAAGCTCTACACGCCAGATACTACACGAAGAGCTCCTGTTTAGTCAGGCTAGCTCAGTTCCCTCGATCCCGTGGCAGGCTATGTTTGATGATCCTACCGAGACCGCGCACGGGTGGAGCTTTCTGAAAGACACTCGCACGGTATGGCCTATAGCCGGTGCCGAATGGATGGTGAATCGGGTCCGAAACGAGAGACCACTCCAGCATCGTTTCATCGAGTCTAGTGCCGGCCGGCTCCGAATGTCGAATGTGCATAGTTATCTCCAACGGGTAGTCCATTTCCGCGAGAAACTAGCTATTGCTATTCACGTCAGCGGAGGCCAGCCTGCACGGGCACCAGAGCTGTTAAGCATTCGGCATTACAATACTGATAGTGGAGGCCACCGGAATGTGTTTGTCGAAGATGGTCTGGTAGCCTTTGTTACGTAGTACCACAAAGGGTTTTATAGTACGAACGACGTGAAGGTTATTCATCGGTATCTACCCCGGGAAGTAGGTGAGCTAGTGGTTTGGTATCTATGGCTAGTGCTGCCGTTTGTAGAGAGATTGGAGGCGTACACACAGAAGGTGCGCGGGGAGGCATCTAATGCTAAGACGACCGGGTACGTTGGATATATATTTACCCCCCTCACACACACACCCAACACACCCAACACACAGATCAACACACCTAACACACAGATCAACACACAGATCAACACAGAGATCAACACAGAGATCAAACATACATATATATATGCCCCCCCTAACCTACGGGAGGGGGCCCAGTCAGGCTGACTGGGGATTAGGGCTTTTGCTTTACTATGGGAGAAAAAAAGTGGGGGGGGGCTGACTGGGAATTAACTGCTCACCCTATCCCACGGGAGGGTGTGCATTCACCCCTGAATGCAGGTTAGGGTTTTCCTTTACTATGGGAGGAAAAAGTGGGTCTATACCCTGAATGCAGGTTAACTTCTTACCCCGAATGCGCTAATCTAGAGGACTCGGATCGCTCTGAAAATTTGGGAAGTTAAAATAGTGTATCTGGCACTGCTCCAATTTGCATCGGAGCTTGTATAGCCCTCTGGTTGTTGAGAAAATGGTGATTGAAAATGCCGGGTTTTTCGAGATGTTTTGATAGGGTGCGGGAATCTGGAGGTGCGACCGGGGCCTGAGGCAGCCACTTAGTCACTGCGATAAGATAAGCGGGTCGTATCCTGACTTCATGTAAACTGCGCACCCCTACTGCCGAGGGCTACAGACCTCTAATAGATCTGAAATTTATAGGGGTTATAATAGAGAGTGTTTTATTTATCTAAGTGAATTTTTAGACTATATGAGCATATATATGTGGGGTAGAGGGTGATCAAAAATGGGAGATGTTTTGATGGGGGACAAGAAAGGCTTGGCACTACAGTCAACAACACTCTCCATTCTTATCGTATATCTTTTAAACCATACATGTTATTCGCACTATATATGCCATTCATGCTGCTCACCAGATTCATGTTATTCACCACATTCACGTTATTCACCCATTCATGTTGCTCAACTATTCGTGTTACTCACTAGATTCATGTTATTCAGCCATTCATGTTGCTTACCACATTCATGTTATTCAGCCTAGGCTTCCGCAAAGCCCACAAAGCCCAAAGCCCAACCCAACCCAACCCACGAATGGGTTGGGCTTGGGCCGATTCTTGAGCCCACGATGGGCTTTGGGCTTTTTTTTTGGGCCCACGGCCCATCGTGGGCCCCCAACGGGGGCCCATCAATTAACAAACAGTGCAAACATACTGATTTTCCTGTAGTTCATAATTTATGCATCTTTTGCCTCGAATCTTAGGTAATTCATTTACAATTTTAGTTTTCACGTAAATTAAAACAGTAATTAACCAAATATAAAATATTCTGATTTATTATATATCACTATCTGCTAGTAGGTCTCAAATTCATCATCTAAAGTGATCTTTCTCTTCCTCCTAGAAGTACGTATCCGCGGACCAAGCTCTAGTAGTGGTAGCTCAACAGCATGAGTATTAGCAGAGACATGATTACCATCAACATCATCATCAACATCATCATCAACATCATCATCAACATCGTCATCAACATCATCATCAGTAATCACATCGATAAGATCCTTAGAATCTGCTATAGCTTGCTCTTCAGTATCGCTAATACTATCCGATTCAACATCCTCAGATCTCTCATCCTTCTCCTCCCTTAATGCTTCAATCTCATCTAAAGAGAAGAACTTTTCAAGCTCCTTTGCCTCTTGAATCTCAAGCTCGAATTTGGATGTACAAAGATACATCATAAGCTCTTAGATTGTTTCGGACTTCATACGACCACGGCGATAATGACAGATATCACGAGCAGTGTTAAATAGTCTCTCCACACTAGCACCTGTAGCTGGAATTGAGAGAATATCTCGTGTAAGTAAAGTGATTGCTGGGAAACGGGCTTAGTGCTCTCTCCAGAAGGAAAGAGGCTCAGAATCAGTAACATCTAAAATAATTAGTATCAATAACATTATACTAAATGAAGTTCATACATACCACTGTCAAGATATTGAGTGATTTCATCTCGAACTGGCTTTGCTTTAGACTTTTGGCCACTAAGCAAGTTTTGAAGAAATGAATTTTGCCTTACTCCTATCCCACGGGAGGGTGTGCAGTCAGGGCTGACTGCAGGTTAGGGTTTTTCCTTTACTATGGGAGAAAAAAAGTGGGGATACCCTGACTGCAGGTTATTTTCTGACCCAGACTGCCAAGGTCTAGCGGCCTCGGATCGCTCTGAAACTTTGGGAAGTTAAAATGGCATATATAAAATATCTCCCGTTTGCATCGGAGCTTGCACAGCCCTCTGATTGTCGAGAAAATAGTGATTGAAAATGCCAGGTTTTTGGAGATGTTTTGATGGGGTGCGGGAATCTGGAGGTGCGACCAGGGCCTGAGGCAGCCACTCGGTCACTGCGATAAGATAAGCGGGTCGTATCCTGGCTTCAGGTAAACTTCGCACCCCCGCTGCTGAGGGCTACAGGCCTCTGATAGATCTGAAATTTGCAGAGGTTATAATATAGAGTGTTAAATATATCTGAGCTACTTTTGAGACCATATGAACATATATATGTGGGGTGGAGGGTGATCAAAAAGGGAGATGTTTTGATGGGGCCAAGAAAGGCTTGGCACTACAGCCCACACCACTCTCCATTCCTATCGTATATCTTTCAGACCATCTATGTTATTCACACTATATATGCCATTCATATTGCTCACCACATTCATGTTATTCACCCGTTCATGTTGCTTACCACATTCATGTTCCTCAGCCATTCCTAATATATATGCCATTCACACTATATATGCCATTCATATTGCTCACCACATTCATGTTATTCACCTATTCATGTTGCTTACTACATTCATGTTGCTCACCACATTCATGTCATTCACCCGTTCATGTTGCTTACCATATTCATGTTGCTCAGCCATTCCCAATATATATGCCATTCACACTATATATGCCATTCATATTGCTCACCATATTCATGTTATTCACCCGTTCATGTTGCTTACCACATTCATGTTGCTCAGCATATTCATGTTATTCAGGCATTCACACTATATATGCGATTCAAACCATATTAAGCTAACTGTTATATATATATAATGAATGCCGTGCTATATAAGCAATTCATGCCCTAGGAAAGGCTGAATGCCCTGCCTGGCTGGCTAATGGCGTGTGAAGCCTGTGTGGGCTGGGAAAGGACTAAGATGGGATGACTGCCATGCCTGGTGGCTAATGAATGCCCTGGGCTGAGCCGAGTGCCCTGCCTGGCTGGCTAATGGCGCGTTGAGCCTGTGTGGGCAGTGAGTGCACTGAGATGGGCTGCTGAGCCTGCCTGGGCTAAGAATGGACTGAAATGGGATCACTGCTATGCCTGAATGGGCTGAGTGCCCTTTCTGGCTAGCTAATGGGCTGCTGAGCCTATATAGGCCGTGAATGCCCTGAGATGGCCTGAGTGTCCTGCCTGTGTGGGTAATGAATGGCCAGCCTTTGTGGGTAGTGAATGCCCTGCCTATGTGGGGAAATGAGTGGTTTGACGTGTCAATTTAACGCTTAGGGCTAAATTATGCAACGTCGATCTTCGCATTATATATATAGTGCAAACAGGAGGGGTAACGGGGGCTGAAACGATGCCCAGTCGATATTGAAATCCTTCTTACACTAACTTACCTGCACTCTTCGACCTAGCTTTTTCTCTAACTTTTTACTATATTTATCCCCCACTATTTCACACCATTACTCGGCTACACTACTACAATGGAACACGAACTTTTTCATCAACCATCGCGTACCCCAATCCTCATATGCAAGAAATGTGAGCACGGAGTAAAGCCGCAGTTTATCATTAAGCATCTCCAAGGGCCATACCATCGGTTAAATCAGGCTACTGCTCGTAGTATTTACACTACTATACAGCAGTGGGACTATATACAGGAATGCGACGAATGGCAGCCACCGACTGTGGTTAACAACCCAATTCCTATCCCACGGGGGTACCTGGAGTCACCGTGACTCCAGGTTAGGGTTTTTCTTTTACTATGGGAGGAAAAGTGGGTCCATACCCTGACTTCAGGTTAACTTCTCACCCTGACTCCTTTGGTCTAGAGGCCTCCGATCAATCTGAAAATTTGGAAAGTTATAATGGCACATATGAATTTGCCCCCATTTGCTCCGGAGCTTGCACAGCCCTCTGGTTGTCGAGAAAATGGTGATTGAAAATGTCGGGTTTTTCGAGATGTTTTGATGGGGTGCGGGAATCTGGAGGTGCGACCGGGGCCTGAGGCAGCCACTTGGTCACCACGATAAGATAAGCGGGTCGCATCCTGACTTCAGGTAAACTTCGCACCCCCACTGCCGAGGGCTACAGACCTCTGATGGATCTGAAATTTGCAGAGGTTATAATATAGAGTGATTGATTTATCTCTGTTAATTTTTAGAATATAGGAGCATATATATGTGGGGTGGAGGGTGATCAAAAATGGGAGATGTTTTGATGGGGGACAAGAAAGGCTTGGCACTACAGCCATACAATACTCCCATTCCCATTTCATATCTTTCAAACCATCCATGTTATTCACACTATATATGCCATTCATGGGATCCAGCCATTGGTTTTTTTCACCACATTCATGTTACTCGCACTATGCATGGCATTTATGCTGCTCACCATATTTATATTATTCACTAGATTTATATATTCACTAGATTTATATATGCACCATATTTATGTTATTCACCATATTTATGTTATTCACCATATTCACGTTATTAGGCCATTCATATTGCTCAGCTGTTCGTGTTGCTTACCATATTCATATTATTCACCCATTTATGTTGATCAGCCATTCATATTACTCAGCTATTCGTGTTGCTCACTACATTCATGTTATTCAGCTATTCATGTTGCTTACCATATTCATGTTATTCACCCATTCATGTTGCTTACCACATTCATGTTGCTTACCACATTCATGTTGCTTACCACATTCATGTTGCTCAGCTATTCGTGTTGCTCACCACATTCATGTCATTCAGTCATTCGTGTTACTCCGCCATTCATGTTATTCAGCCATTCCTAACATATATGCCATTCATGTTGCTCAGCTATTCGTGTTGCTCACCATATTCATGTTTATTCAGCCATTCAAACCAGATTAGGCTAATTGTTATATATATATATATGATGAATGCCGTGCTATATGAGCAATTAATGCCCTAGGAAAGGCTGAATGCCCTGCCTGCCTGGCCAATGGCGTGTTGAGCCCATGTGAGCAACGACTGCCTTGAGATGGGATGACTGGGCGACCTAGATGGCCAATGAATGACCTGGGCTGAGCTGAGTGCCCTTCCTGTGTGGCCAATAGCGTGTTGAGCCTATGTGGGCAATGAATGCCCTCCTTGGCTGGCCAATGGGCTGCTGAGCCTGTGTGGGCAGTGAATGCCCTGCCTGGCTGGCTAATGAGCTGCTGAGCCTGTATGGGCTGGGAATGGACTGAAATGGGATGACTACCATGCCTTAACGGGCAGAGGGCCCTTCCTGGCTGGCCAATGAGCTGCTGAGCCTGTATGGGCTGGGAATGGACTGAAATGGGATGACTGCCATGCCTGAATGGGCTGCTGAGCCTATATGGGCTGGGAAAGGACTGAAACGGGATGACTGCCCTGCCTAGGTGAGCTGAGGGCCAGCCTATGTGGCTAGTGGCAGCCCTGCATATGTGGGGAATCAGTGGTTGACCTGTCAATCTAAGGCCCGGGCCGAAACGCACTATGTCGATCATCGTATTCTATATATAGTGTGTGCAGGTGGGGTAACGGGGGCTGAAACGATCCCCCGGCCTATTTTGAAATTCTTCTCACACTAACCTGCCCGCCCTTTCTACTCTGCTTTTCCTCTCTCTTTCATCTTCGTTATCCTTCACTGTTTTCTTTCATTACTTACCCCCACTACCACAATGGAACATCAGCTTTTTCACCAGCCATCAACCACGCCCGTGATTGTATGTAAGCTATGTGAATATGGTGTTCGACCAAAAGAGGTTTCTCGCCACCTCCAATCTGCTAATCATCGGATGCCGAAGCCGAAAGCGCGCCAAATTGCCGAGGCAGTTCAACAATGGGAGCGTACGGCAGAATGTGATGAATGGCAGCCACTATTAGTGGTGAATCAGCCTCTTCCCAATTTGCCTGTTTATTCAGATGGCATTTTATGCGAGCAAGGCCCGATGTGCCAGTTCGTTGCCCGGTCAATTAGCACTATGCGTGTTCACTGGCGTGATCATCATAGCTGGGTAGCCCCTACAAACCGGGGCGGTCGTCGGCGGCAGCATACTTCATCAGCTGCGGAGCAACAAATCCAGCAATTCACTCGAATCGTCCGATGCCAACGTGCGTTTAATCACGGGCTAGGGTCCCATTACATCCGCGTTCAAACCCTCGGAGCCGAGGCCATTCCCGGGGCTGATCTGTTAGCAATGTCTGATCATAATAGTCAGGTGATTGATCAGATGGAAAGAGCATATGCCGAAAGAGAAGAGCTCCCCCAGGTGATCGTGGCCAGCCAGCGAGACGAGACGAATCCATGGCTTCGGAGGACCCAGTGGGCCGTCTATCTCCAGGGGATCAACCCGCACGACCTAGTGGACTGTGTCCGAGCCCCCGATCCCGAATCATCCGATCAGACCGAGCAGGCCGCCTATACAATTTGGAATTCAATGGCCACTGTAGCTCGCATCAGCCAGTTGATCTGCACTAAAACGAGCCACACCATTCGGTGCGAGGCTGTTCGGACTGAGCGGGATCGCCTGCCCCATCAACCACTACAAGCATATATGGATAGTGATAATGTTAAGCGACACACGGTCCCGTGGCAGCAGAGTCTCATGTTTTTCACGCGCACACAGGCCCCACATGATTGGGCTAGCCCCCACTACAGGTTTTCTAAACGCCAGCGAGCGGCATGGGCCACTTTATGGAGACTGGCCCAGCCAGGCCAGGGCATGACAGGCCATTCCAGCACAGGCCAGGGCAGGGCAGGCCATTCCAACACAGGCCAGGGCAGGGCAGGCCAACACAGGCCATTCCAACACAGGGCAGGCTAACACAGGCCATTCCACCGCCGGCCAGGGCAGTGAAGATTTAAGCAGTTCGGACCAAAGCAGTGTGCATTCAGGAAGTGATTCCGAGGAACAACGGGACCAAGTCACTAGCGAATCCCCCTTTCAGCTCACACCCCTCGACTCCGCCTGTCTTGATTTTTGCATTGAGCTATTAAACCACCGAACTAAGGTCGAGGACTATGAGAGCGCGCTCATCTGCGCTAGCGCGGTGCTTGGACGTGGAGAGGCAGGCTGGGGCACTGCCCAGAGCTATCCTCCAATCTTGTCTAAAGTGATCAAGATTGCTAGGTTTATGGTGGTCCACAAAGCATTAAAACTAGACCCAACGGCCGAGAAGATGATCCACCAACTAGCTACGCATCAGATGGCGGGCGAATGGGATACAGAGAGTCCGTTAGATTCACCTGATTTCACATTTTTAACGCAAACAACGGACGATTCGTTTTACAACTTTGACAGTGGCCTAGATCAGGGCACACCTCCGTCATCGCACTTTATTCAGTTCAGCCAGGGCCACACACAGGGCCACACACAGGGCCACACACAGGGCCACAGCCAACGATCATTCCGGGAGTGGGTGACCGAGATGGTCAGCCAGTTTATGGTCCGCGGCACCAACAGTCCAATGCAGTGGCTGTTAGATCTACGCACCTACGGCTTAAAGATCCATTATAACAGCACCGCCACAGGCCATGTTGGCTGGATGAACCAAGACCAGCTGTTATATCAACAGTACAGTTTCACTATGGGTGATTTCCGCGGCTTTACCCACGGGCTCGTTAGCTCCACACGCCAGATACTACACGAAGAGCTCTTGTTTAGTAAGGCTAGCTCAGTTCCCACGATCCCGTGGCAGGCTATGTTTGATGATCCTACCGAGACCGCGCACGGGTGGAGCTTTCTGAAAGACACTCGCACGGTATGGCCTGTGGCCGGTAGCGAATGGATAGTGAATCGGGTCCGAAACGAGAGACCACTCCAGCATCGTTTCATCGAGTCTAGTGCCGGCCGGCTCCGAATGTCGAATGTGCACAGTTATCTCCAACGGGTAGCCCATTTCCGCGAGAAGCTAGCCATTGCTGTCCACGTCAGCGGAGGCCAGCCTGCACGGGCACCAGAGCTGTTAAGCATTCGGCACTACAATACTGACAGCGGAGGCCACCGGAATGTCTTTGTCGAAGATGGTCTGGTAGCGTTTGTTACGCAGTACCACAAAGGGTTTTATAGTACGAACGACGTGAAGGTTATTCATCGGTATCTACCCCGGGAAGTCGGTGAGCTAGTGGTTTGGTATCTATGGCTAGTGCTGCCGTTTGTGGAGAGATTGGAGGCGTACACACAGAAGGTGCGCGGGGAGGCATCTGATGCTGAGACGACCGGGTACGTTGGATATATATTTACCCCCCTCACACACACACCCAACACACCCAACACGCAGATCAACACAGAGATCAACACACAGATCAACACAGAGATCAACACAGAGATCAACACACAGTTCAACACAGAGATCAAACATATATATATATATGCCCCCGCTCTCTCACACACACACATCCCCCCTCACACACACACACCCAACACACCCAACACGCAGATCAACACAGAGATCAACACAGAGATCAACACACAGTTCAACACAGAGATCCAACATATATATATATGCCCCCGCTCTCTCACACACACACATCCCCCTCACACACACACACCCAACACACACATCACCACACACATCAACACACACATCAACACACACGTCAACACACACATCAACACACATATTTATATATATATGCCCCCCTATCCCACGGGAGGGTGTGCATTCACCCCTGAATGCAGGTTAGGGTTTTCCTTTACTATGGGAGGAAAAAGTGGGTCCATACCCTGAATGCAGGTTAACTTCTTACCCCGAATGCGCTAATCTAGAGGACTCGGATCGCTCTGAAAATTTGGGAAGTTAAAATAGTGTATCTGGCACTGCTCCAATTTGCATCGGAGCTTGCATAGCCCTCTGGTTGTTGAGAAAATGGTGATTGAAAATGCCGGGTTTTTCGAGATGTTTTGATGGGGTGCGGGAATCTGGAGGTGCGACCGGGGCCTGAGGCTGCCACTTGGTCACTACGATAAGATAAGCGGGTCGTATCCTGACTTCATGTAAACTGCGCACCCCCACTGCCGAGGGCTACAGACCTCTAATAGATCTGAAATTTACAGGGGTTATAATAGAGAGTGTTTTATTTATCTTGGTCAGTTTTTAGACTATATGAGCATATATATGTGGGGTGGAGGGTGATCAAAAATGGGAGATGTTTTGATGGGGGACAAGAAAGGCTTGGCACTACAGTCAACAACACTCTCCATTCTTATCGTATATCTTTTAAACCATGCATGTTATTCGCACTATATATGCCATTCATGCTGCTCACCAGATTCATGCTGCTCACCAGATTCATGTTATTCACCACATTCACGTTATTCACCCATTCATGTTGCTCAACTATTCGTGTTACTCACTGGATTCATGTTATTCAGCCATTCATGTTGCTTACCACATTCATGTTATTCAGCCATTCATGTTGCTTCAGCCATTCATGTCATTCAGCCATCGTGGCCTGTGAATAACCTAAGATGGGATGACTGCCATGCCTATATGATCCATAAATGCCCTGGAATGGGCGGAGTGCCCAGCCTGTGTGGCCAATGGGCTGCTGAGCCTGCCTGGGCCGAGAATGGTCTGAAATGGGATGACTGCCCTACCTGAATGGGCCGAGCACCATGCCTATCCCACGGGGGTACCTGCAGTCTTAAAGACTGCAGGTTAGGGTTTTCCCTTTACTATGGGAGGAAAAGTGGGTCCGTCGTTAGACTGCAGGTTCTTTTCGTCGTTAGACTGCGAAGGTCTAGAGGCCTCGGATCGCTCTGAAAATTTAGGAAGTTAAAATGGCATATATGAATTTGCCCCCATTGACATCGGAGTATGCACAGCCCTCTGGTTGTTGAGAAAATGGTGATTGAAAATGCCGGGTTTTTCGAGATGTTTTGATGGGGTGCGGGAATCTGGAGGTGCGACCGGGGCCTGAGGCAGCCACTTGGTCACCACGATAAGATAAGCGGGTCGCATCTTGACTTCATGTAAACTTCGCACCCCTACTGCCGAGGCCTACAGACCTCTGATCAATCTGAAATTTAGAGAGGTTATAGTATAGATCGTTTTATATATCTTAGCCACTTTTTACGCTATATGAATATATATATGTGGGGTGGAGGGTGATCAAAAATGGGAGATGTTTTGATGGGGAGCAAGAAAGGCTTGGCACTACAGCCATACAACACTCCCCATTCCCATTATATGCCATTCATAGGATTCAGCCATTGATTTTTTTCACCACATTCACGTTGCTCACACTATATATAGCATTCAGGTTATTTAGCTATTCCTAAAAATATGCCATTCACACCATATATGCTATCAGTTCCTATCAGTATCCCTATTCATGTTATTCAGATTAAAAGGACTAATTCATGAGCTATTCATGTTGCTTACCACATTCAAGTTATTCACCTATTCATGTTATTATTGTTATTCACCTATTCATGTTGCTTAGCTATTCGTGTTGCTTAGTTACCACATTCATGTTATTCACCAATTATGTTATTCCCACATCAGTATATATGCCATTTATGTTGCTCAGCCATTCATGTTGCTTAGCCATTCATGTTGCTTCAGCCATTCATGTTGCTTACCACATTCATGTTATTCACCCATTCATGTTACTCACCATTCATGTTGCTAGTATTGTGTTGTAACATATCATATTATGCCATTTATGTTGCTTAGCCATTCATGTTGCTTAGCCATTCATGTTGCTCACCACATTTACATTGCTCACCACATTCATATTGCTCACCATATTCATATTGCTCACCATATTCATTTTATTCAGCCATTCAACCCATATTAGGCTGAGGGCCCTTCCTAGCTGGCTAGTGGGCTGCTGAGCCTGCCTGGGCCGAGAATAGACTGAAATGGGATCACTGCTATGCCTGGTAGCTAATTAATGCCCTGGGCTGAGCTGAATGCCCTGCCCGGCCGGCCAATGGCGTGTTGAGCCTGTGTGGGCAATGAATGCCGTGCCTGGCTGGCCAATGGCGTGTTAAGCTTGTGTAGGCAGTGAATGCCCTGCCTGGCTGACCAATGGTGTGTTGAGCCTGTGTGGGCAGTCAATGCTCTGTATGGCTGGAAATGGACTGAAATAGGATGACTGCCATGCCTAAATGGGCCGAGGACCCTGCCTATGTGCCTCCGCCTCGTACAGAAATTCAACACACAGATCCTCCACCCCTCATCTTCTCCCTCACACACATCCCCCCCACACAGAGATTCAACACACACATCCCTAACGATCTGTATAGGTTATATAGGCAAAGCAAGACTGAAATGGGATGATTGCCCTGCCTAGGTGAGCTGAGGGCCAGCCTATGTGGCTAATGGCAGCCCTACATAAGTGGGGAATCAGTGGTTGACCTGTCAATCTAAGGCCCGGGCCGAAATGCACTATGTCGATCATCGTATTCTATATATAGTTTTTGCAGGTGGGGTAACGGGGGCTGAAACGATCCCTCGGCCTATATTAAAATTCTGCTTACACTAACCTACCTGCCCTTTCTACTCTACTTTTCCTCTCACTTTCATCTTAGTTATCCTCCACTGTTTTCTTTCATTACTTACCCCCACTACCACTATGGAACATCAGCTTTTTCACCAGCCATCAACCACGCCCGTGATTGTATGCAAGCTATGTGAACATGTTATTCGACCAAAAGAGGTTTTTCGGCACCTCCAATCCGCGAATCATCGGATCCCGAAGCCAAAAGCGCGCCAAATTGCCGATGCAGTTCAACAATGGGAGCGTGCGGCGGAATGTGATGAATGGCAGCCACCACTAGTAGTGAATGAACCAATTCCTAATTTGCCTGTTTACTCGGATGGCATTTTATGTGAGCAAGGCCTATTTTGCCAATTTATTGCCCGGTCAACCACAACTATACGACAACACTGGCGTGATCATCATAGCTGGGTAGCTCCTATCAACCGGGGCGGTCGTCGGCGGCAGCATACTTCATCGGCTGCGGAGCAACAAATCCAGCAATTCACTCGTATCGTGCGATGCCAACGTGCGTTTCCTCAACGGCTCGGGTCCCATTATATCCGCGTTCAAACGCTCGGAGCCGAGGCTATTCCCGAGGCCGATTCGCTAGCAATATCTGATCATAATAGTCAGGTGATTGATCAGATGGAAAGAGCATATACCGAAAGACAAGAGCTTCCCCAGGTGATCGTGGCTAGCCAGCGAGACGAGACGAATCCATGGCTTCGGAGGACCCAATGGGCCGTCTATCTCCAAGGGATCAACCCGCACGACCTAGTGGACAGTGTCCGAGCCCCCGATCCCGAATCACTCGATCCCACCGAGCAGGCTGCCTACGCAATATGGGATTCAATGGCCACTGTGGCTCGTATCAGCCAGTTGATCTACACCAAAACGAGCCACACTATTCGGTGCGAGGCTGTTCGGACTAAGCGGGATCGCCTACCCCATCAACCACTACAAGCATATATGGATGGTGAAGCTGTTAAGCGACACACGGTCCCGTGGCAGCAGATTCTCATGTTTTTCACGCGCACGCAGGCCCCACATGATTGGGCTAGCCCCCACTACAGGTTTTCCAAACGCCAGCGAGCGGCTTGGGCCACATTATGGAGACTAGCCCAGGCAGAGCTTAGTGCCTCACCCATCGTAGGCCAGGGCAGGGCAGGCCATTCCAACACAGGCCTTTCCAACACAGGCCTTTCCAACACAGGCCTTTCCAACACAAGCCTTTCCAACACAGGCCAGTACATGGAAGGCCATTCCAACGCCGGGCAGGCCAACACAGGGCATTCCAACACAGGGCATTCAAACGCCGGCCAGAGCAGTGAAGACCTGAGCAGTTCGGACCAAAGCAGTATACATTCAGGAAGTGATTCCGAGGACCAACAGCACCAAATCACTAGCGAATCCCCCTTTCAGCTCACTCCCCTTGACTCCGCCTGTCTAGATTTTTGCATTGAGCTATTGAACCACCGAACTAAGGTCGAGGACTATAAGAGCGCGCTTATCTGCGCTAGCGCGGTGCTTGGACGTGGGGAGGCAGGCTGGGGTACTGCCCAGAGCTATCCCCCAATATTGTCCAAAGTGATCAAGATTGCTCGGTTTATGGTGGTCCACAAAGCATTAAAGCTAGACCCAACGGCCGAGAAGATGATCCACCAACTAGCTACGCATCAGATGGCTGGCGAATGGGATACAGAGAGTCCGTTAGATTCGCCTGATTTCACGTTTTTAACGCAAACAACGGACGATTCGTTTTACAACGATAACGATGGAGATCAGGGGGCAGCACAGTCATCGCACTTTATTCAGTTTAGCCAGGGCCACACACAGGGCCACCGCCAACGATCATTCCGGGAGTGGGTGACCGAGATGGTCAGCCAGTTTATGGTCCGCGGCACTAACAGTCCAATGCAGTGGCTGTTAGATCTACGCACGTACGGCTTAAAGATCCATTATAACAGCACCGCCACAGGCCATGTTGGCTGGATGAACCAAGACCAGCTGTTATATCAACAGTACAGTTTCACTATGGGTGACTTCCGCGGCTTTACCCACGGCCTCGTAAGCTCCACACGCCAGATACTACACGAAGAGCTCCTGTTTAGTCAGGCTAGCTCAGTTCCCTCGATCCCGTGGCAGGCTATGTTTGATGATCCTACCGAGACCGCGCACGGGTGGAGCTTTTTAAAAGACACCCGTACGGTATGGCCTGTAGCCGGTAGCGAATGGATGGTGAATCGGGTCCGAAACGAGAGACCACTCCAGCAGCGTTTTATCGAGTCTAGTGCCGGCCGGCTCCGAATGTCCGCTATCGACGTTTATCTTCAACGGGTAGCCCATTTCCGCGAGAAGCTAGCCATTGCTGTCCACGTCAGCGGAGGCCAGCCTGCACGGGCGCCAGAGCTGTTAAGCATTCGGCACTACAATACTGACAGCGGAGGCCACCGGAATGTGTTTGTCGAAGATGGTCTGGTAGCGTTTGTTACGCAGTACCACAAAGGGTTTTATAGTACGAACGACGTGAAGGTTATTCATCGGTATCTACCCCGGGAAGTAGGTGAGCTAGTGGTTTGGTATCTATGGCTAGTGCTGCCGTTTGTGGAGAGATTGGAGGCGTACACACAGAAGGTGCGCGGGGAGGCATCTGATGCTGAGACGACTGGGTACGTTGGATATATATATACCCTCCTCACACACACACCCAACACACCCAACACACAGTTCAACACAGAGATCAACACACAGTTCAACACAGAGGTCAAACACACACATATGTATATATGCCCCCCCTCTCTCTCACACCCACCCACCCAACACACACATATATACACTAACACATTCACTACCAGCCCCCGTCGACAGGCATATCTATGGTCCCCTATCCCACGGGGGGGGGGCGAACTCTGGCAGAGTTCGCTGTTAGGGCTTCCGGTTCCCGTCTGCGATTGGCGGAAAAAGAAGTGGGCCCCGCCTGGGTTCAGTCTAACTTGCGACCCAGGGTTCAGGGTCCAAATCACCCCCGTTCCGTCTATAAATTTGCATAGTTCTAAGTGAGCATAGACATTATCTCCCATTTCGATCTTAGCCGCGCCGGCGTACTGGTTGTGGAGAACCTGGCGATTGAAAATCGGAGATGTTTTGATGGGGTGCGGGTAAGGAACTTGGCGGGGTTGCGACCGCGGCCTCAGGCATCACTTCCGCAATTAATGGAGGAGGATGGGCCGTCGTATCACCTCAACCATCTCCGTCGACCGGGATCAGGGGAGTTAGTAGATAGATGATTTGGGGGTTGGATCCGATCCCCAGTTACGGTCGGAATGACTTTGAAACAATTTTACCGTAGACTTTGTGTTGAACATTCACCACATTCACGCACGCACTACTATACATACATCATTATCAGCCGAATCCACTTCCACTTTTAATAATGGAACATCAACTTTTTCACCGGCCGTCGACCGACCCAGTTATCGTCTGCAAACGATGCGAGCATGCTGTGAGACCGCGAGAGGTCTTGAGACATCTTCAATCACCCCACCATCGGCTTCCTATGCCGACTGCCCGCCGTATCAGCGACGTGATTCAACGTTGGGACCGTGCAGAGCAATGCGACGAATGGCAAGCTGTGACCGTAGTCACGGTCCCAATCCCCAATCTACCGGTATATCCGGATGGTATCTTATGCGAGAAGGGCCAGTTCTGTGGTTTTATCGCGAGGACCGCTGGGACTATGCGCAAGCACTGGCGTGAACAGCATCACTGGGTCGCACCGGCAAACCGTAGCGGCCGTAGGAAACCGCCAGGTCCATCGGTCGCCGAGCAGCATTTTCAGCAATCCACCCGAGTCGTCCAATGCCAGCGCGCATTTGTCCAGGGCCTAGGATCTCATTACATTCGCGTTCAGACGCTCGGGGCCGAGGCGATCCCCGCGGCCGATCCGTCACCAGCATCCGAGGTCAGCGATCGGCTTATAGATCAGATCGAACGGGCCTACACCGAAAGGAATACGCTACCCCAGCTGATTGAGGCCGGCCAGCGAGACGAGGCGAATCCATGGCTTCGCCGGACCCAGTGGGCCGTATATCTTCAGGGGATTAACCCGCAGGACCTCGTGGACTGCGTCCGTGCCCCCGATCCCGAAGCGCCCAATCAGACCGAGCAGGCCGCCTACGCCATCTGGGAGTCTATGGCCGCCGTGGCTCGCGTGAGCCAGTTGATCAGCACGAAAACGAGCCACACCATCCGGTGCGAGGCGGTCCGAACGGAGCGGGACCGGCTGCCCCATCAGCCACTGCAAGCATACATGGACGCTGAGAACATCACGCGACACACCATCCCGTGGCAGCAGATCTTAATGTTTTTCACGCGCACGCAGGCTCCACATGACTGGGCTAGCCCTTACTATAAGTTGTCAAAACGCCAGCGAGCGGCATGGACCACACTATGGAGGCTAGCCCAGCCAGGGCAGGGCAGGGCAGGCCATTCTAACACAGGCCTTTCCAACACAGGCCTTTCCAACACAGGCCTTTCCAACATAGGCCTTTCCAACACAGGCCAGTACATGGCAGGCCATTCCAACGCCGGGCAGGCCAACACAGGGCATTACAACACAGGGCATTCAAACGCCGGCCAGAGCAATGAAGACCTGAGCAGTTCGGACCAAAGCAGTATGCATTCAGGAAGTGATTCCGAGGACCAACAGCACCAAATCACTAGCGAATCTCCCTTTCAGCTCACTCCCCTTGACTCCGCCTGTCTGGATTTTTGCATTGAGCTGTTAAACCACCGAACTAAGGTCGAGGACTATGAGAGCGCGCTCATCTGCGCTAGCGCGGTGCTTGGACGTGGGGAGGCAGGCTGGGGCACTGCCCAGAGCTATCCTCCAATCTTGTCAAAAGTGATTAAGATTGCTCGGTTTATGGTAGTCCATAAAGCATTAAAGCTAGACCCAACGGCCGAGAAGATGATTCACCAACTAGCTACGCATCAGATGGCTGGCGAATGGGATACAGAGAGCCCGTTAGATTCACCTGATTTCACATTTTTAACGCAAACAACGGACGATTCGTTTTACAACTTTGACAGTGGCCTAGATCAGGGCACACCTCCGTCATCGCACTTTATTCAGTTCAGCCACGGCCACACACAGGGCCACCGCCAACGATCATTCCGGGAGTGGGTGACCGAGATGGTCAGCCAGTTTATGGTCCGCGGCACCAACAGTCCAATGCAGTGGCTGTTAGATCTACGCACCTACGGCTTGAAGATCCATTATAACAGCACCGCCACAGGCCATGTTGGCTGGATGAACCAAGACCAGCTGTTATATCAACAGTACAGTTTTACTATGGGTGACTTCCGCGGCTTTACCCACGGCCTCGTGAGCTCCACACGCCAGATACTACACGAAGAGCTCCTCTTTAGTCAGGCTAGCTCAGTTCCCACGATCCCGTGGCAGGCTATGTTTGATGATCCTACCGAGACCGCGCACGGGTGGAGCTTTCTGAAAGACACTCGCACGGTATGGCCTGTGGCCGGTGCCGAATGGATGGTGAATCGGGTCCGAAACGAGAGACCACTCCAGCAGCGTTTTATCGAGTCTAGTGCCGGCCGGCTCCGAATGTCGAATGTGCACAGTTATCTCCAACGGGTAACCCATTTCCGCGAGAAGCTAGCCATTGCTGTCCACGTCAGCGGAGGCCAGCCTGCACGGGCACCAGAGCTATTAAGCATTCGGCACTACAATACTGACAGCGGAGGCCACCGGAATGTGTTTGTCGAAGATGGTCTGGTAGCGTTTGTTACGCAGTACCACAAAGGGTTTTATAGTACGAACGACGTGAAGGTTATTCATCGGTATCTACCCCGGGAAGTCGGTGAGCTAGTGGTTTGGTATCTATGGCTAGTGCTGCCGTTTGTGGAGAGATTGGAGGCGTACACACAGAAGGTGCGCGGGAAGGCATCTGATGCTGAGACGACTGGGTACGTTGGATATATATATACCCCCCTCACACACACACCCAACACACAGATCAACACACAGATCAACACACAGATCAACACACAGATCAACACAGAGATCAACACAGAGATCAACACACAGTTCAACACAGAGATCAAACATATATATATATATGCCCCCGCTCTCTCTCACACGCACCCACCCAACACACACATATATATACACTAACACGTTCACTACCAGCCCCCGTCGACAGGCATATCTATGGTCCCCTGACCCTGGCACCGGCCGACAGTGGTCTTCAGAGAGACTAAGAGAAGTTCTAAAGCGAGAAACCACCATTGGTTTGAACGGGCACGCCATCAATCTCCATGCATACCGAGACATCGCCATTGGGATCAGCCGACGATTCATGCGGCCATCGAGCATTTTCCCCAATAATGCCCAACAGGACAGCCGGGCCGAGGCATCCCAAGAAGATGACGAAGATGGGATCAATGCCGAGCAATGGATGGGCCATATTGCCGATCTCCAAGCAGCCCATTCATCCCATGTGGCCGGGATGATCTATGGCCGCGGGATCACCGAGCAGCCCGGTACAACGGCCCACCGGCGAGAGATGTTTCGGCTCAGCAGCACCGATTGGCACCGCTTTCTAGGCTTTGTGTCCGCTGATGACGGAGGGGCCGAGAGCGCATTAGGGCTCGCGCAGCCTTCGCCATGGCAAAAGGAAGCTGAGATGAGTCGTACGGAGCGCCGGTGGCAGCTAGCCCAGGCCGCCATCGAGCCCGAAATGCAACGGATGATGGGCAACACCGGGCTACGGCTTCGAGGGGTGCAGGCACCGGCATTAGCTGCCATTCAACAGGGCCAGAGCCCAGTGGTGGCTGTGATGCCCACCGGGGGCGGCAAGAGCCTGCTATTCATGCTACCCGCGTGGATCAGCCCCCGAGGGGTAACGGTGGTCGTAGTGCCGTTAATTGCACTACGGGGGGATCTTGTCCACCGTTGCCGGCAGCTCGGCATCGCATGTGTGGAATGGGAGAGCCGGCGGCCAGCCGATCAGGCATCCATCGTACTGGTTACGCCCGAATCAGCTATTACGGAGGACTTTATGACGTTTTTGAACAGGCAGCGGCTCGGCCATCGGCTAGATCGAATTGTGATTGATGAATGCCACGTTGTGCTAAATGACCAAAGCCAATTCCGGCCTGCCATGGCCCAACTGGGCAGGTTGATCGTGGCCCAGGCCCAGATGATATATCTAACGGCTACGTTACCCCCGGCAGCCGAGGACCAGCTATTCCGGCGTTTACGGACTACCCGCGAGAAGGCCCATATGTTTCGAGCGCGGACCCATCGGACTAATGTTGCGTACCGGCTCTGGCAACCCAACGTGCCGAGTCGGTACCGAAATGGCTACGATTGGATCGAGCGTCCCGAGATCGTGAGATTCATTCAGGACCGTGTTCGGCGTGCCCGCTGCGTGGCTGGCCGAGTGGTCATTTATGGGCCCACTACTAAGATCGTCGAGCACATTGCCCAGATCGTAGGCAGTGAAGCATACCATAGCCGAGTACTCGATCGTCCGGGCGTGCTAGCCCGATTTCAGGCTGATCCCACCGGCGTGGTGGCCGCAACTAGTGCGCTAGGTATGGGGGTTGATATCCCCAACATCCGGTGTATCATTCACATCGGGGTGCCGCGCAGTCTGCTAGACTACGCGCAAGAGAGTGGGCGAGCGGGCCGGGATGGGGACCGCAGTGAGGCCATTATCGTTCAGCCCGAGGGGTTCCAGCGGCCAATATGGGACCAAATCCATGAGGACCCCATCAAGGCTCAGGCGGAGCAGAGCCGGCTAGATCGTTATATATATAACGGAGGGTGTCGACGGGTTATTCTCGATGAGTATCTCGATGGGCATGAAAGGCAGTATTGCGGGGATTCTGAAGCTATGGAACAACGTTGTGATGGCTGTGATCCGGAGTGGCTAGCTAACGAAGAAAAGCTTGAGAGTGAGGTGGCGAGTGAGCTGGCCGTTGAGGGGGGCAGTGGTGGGGGCAGTGATGGGGGCAGTGAGAGAAACAGCCCA